GTACATGCAACTGACTCAAAAGTCAAAATCTTATAACTGATCAAGCCAAGTCGCAATAAAACGTACCATATATAAATACAATACCACGAGAAGCTAAAAATTATTGTAAAATATGACGCAATACATACACCACACCTCCTTATAGTATAACATTGTTATCAAACTGGCTATAATTATACTATACTGCATGCAATAGTGGACTTTGTTATACGAATTTGTGCCCGATTTTACAGTATACTTTTAAAACGCGCGTGTGACATATTAATGCGACAAATTCCTATAAACCAAATCAGTTCATCATTCTAATTACTGCACACAACGCTCACAGACATATTTAACAGTTCAACTGCTCTTGCATAAAATTTCACGCTATATTGCGACTTCAAGCAGGCTAAGTAATGCATGTTGGGATATGCAATTTACATTGGCAAATTCACGGGCTATTGTAGGAAATTCCTTTGCGAGTATTTGCCGTTCTCTTTAAAAGACAGCGGCACGCAAAACCTTTTGCTTTTCCTGAGGCTATATACGTATGTATGTCATTTCACCAGCTTTCCGTGCACGAGGGCCATATGGAAAACACTTTTGCAAAATTGAAAGAGGAAATATGCCATGAATGGGAAAAAATGCATTCCAAAGCAACAAAAAACAGACCATGAGGGTCTCAATCCAAGGGCTAGGGAGATTACAGGGAGGGGCACGTACTTCCACCTTTATTTTAATATATATAATCTATATATATGCATACAAGAAAAATAGCTCTTGCAATTAATTGCCATAGGCCTCACCTCCCTTTTTATGAAAGAATTATCACCCTTGGAACGGATGTACTATTGAAGTTACTATAAAAGCGAGGCAGTAATCGTAAAGCGCCTGAAATGCACGTTTTGTATACCAAAACTGATTGGATTGGACAATGTTCAAACCGAAAAACGAACAATATCCTTCTGTATGTGAAGGAATGATAAAAAAATTCAATTGATACAAGCGGGTGTCGGAGTGTATAACGGTAATAATTATGTGCCTGTAGTTATAATTAAATAGTAATGATAACAAATATATATTATTACTTGTTGTTATTATTATCATATTATTAGCATGTCCATAAAGCTCAGTGGAACTATTTTGAAAACCGACGATCATTGATTTGGGACTTCTCCCAAAGAAAACCGCAATACGGTAGCTACTTGGCACAGACATCTGTCCCGTGGAGACTAAGGAAAACTCCTGCATGCAAATTAGGGTATAGGAAGGATTGAGCGACTACCAAAGCTAGGATAAACATTCGAACTAAGCCAAATTGTAGACAATTGACGTGAGCGTGATGAAATTCCGGAGTTTGCGGACTGCGGTTAAACAAAATATACTGAATAATGCTGTGACGTGATGGCTACACTGGCCAGAGGAAATATTACCGTGATGATTCTAAATACATCAGGGGGGATTGGTTAGGGTCATCGCCATGATTATTAGATTTTAGGTTGAGGACGCGCCCATAACTCCAGGATTACGTTCACGATAACACTAATACCGTTGTGCACGATATGTGTAATTTAATTTTGGATGACTTTGTAAGAAATACCTCACGGAATAGCGAAGCAAGTGCGAATCGTATGGATTGATATATATTCATTATATTCCACGGGTTTATTGACACAATATTGTAACACGACTTATTAGCGCTGGCCTAACATGTTATTTTAAAGAACAAAAACTAACGTGAATTAGATCATAAACATGATTGCAGGTCAGAGGTGGTTGAAGTTAGGCCAGTTATCACTGACTCACACCTACTGGTAACGGAAACTGGAACAGCTGGTCGTAAACTCTTGAAGACGTGTACGTCAGGATGAACTTTGATGTACCCCGAAACCAGCGGTAGACGCGTGCCCAGCAACACAGGGGTCCCGGTCCGCCATTGTACAGCGTTATGTAACAACCCTATTTCGAGTTTATTAGCATTGTATACCAGTGTATTGATCTTTGTAAAATACAGCTGTGCGTTTGTGTTTGAGGCGATCGCAGCTTATTTTAGGCGGCAAATAAACTGTGGCCTCACCGGATACATTAGAAATAGGCAAGCGATTGCATTTCCCGATTATATTTGCCCGTTTGTGGGCGTTTGCAATCTTGTATTTCCGTTCGCGAGTTATTCAATTAGAACCCGTGTTTGTGTTTGTATCATATTCAGATTGAAATCGGGCTTAATTTGTCTACATTCGAGTTCATCGTTTGCACGGAGTGCGTTTTGGAAATCGACCAGGAATTGATTCACTCGAGCTAAAACTTAAACCAAGATTGGTTATGATAGGATAAGATTGGTAGCGAACAAACAAGTTGACAATTATACATATTAAATGCAAGTATAAGCAATATTAAGATTCAAACTAATTGGACAATGCGATGAAAAGGATTAAGTGAATGATTCACAGTGTAGTTCATTGAACATCGTGAAACGCCACCACCCGATTTTTGAAGTATTTGGGTATCTCGACAGATGCAGGAAATTCATATAGGCTATGATGGCGAGACGCAGACGATCTCGTTTCCTTTTCTCACAATGAACTGAAAAGCCAGGGTAGCCTGCATGGAAAGCTCTTAACCAATTGACCTGTATGTCTATATTGCTCTAATCCTAGACCCTAATCCTTCCTTTTTCCATGTGGACATGGTCTAGAATCGAATATAACCAATTATCACTTGCTTACGTATTAAATAACCAGGGTTGCCGTGGTTTAAAGAATAGAGGGAAAAAGTGTTCACAATTCATAAATTATACTTATGGTGTAATGCCACTGACATGATAGCGTAATTATTATTAATTCCGGCATGATGTAGTATTTTAGATTCCTCTGACACCGGAGAAACAGGTCTGTAGCCTTACATCAAACAACCTTTCAAACAAAAAATACAACAAGTTCAACTGAACAGTGAACATAAAGTTGCAAGGTAAAAAGACCTGACTTAATAGTTCCCTTGACCTTTCGCTAACTTCTTAACATCCCTACTCGAAAAGCATCATAAACTGTGACCAATTATATAGCTAGTGTGATGCACCAGACATAGCGTCGTACGTAAAATATTATAAAAAGACTTTCTTTGTGCGCTCTCCTTGTGTAAAATTGATATTAAAATATCACTGATTGAATAAAAAACAATGAAGGATGTTTCGCTACGGCCTCTGCAGGAGAGAAAAAAGACAATCATTCTGCTGGTACCTATATTTAAGTCCCAGTATTAGTTGAGTGTAAATGGTAATTTCAAAAACAGCAAGAGTTTATTTTGAAATGGATTAGCTTGAAAGGAAGTATTACATTAAAACTATGCTGTTACAAACAAGAATTCGCTAACATGTGTAGCTAATTATTTATGAACATCCAATATCAAGTACATGAATTATATCAACATTGTATCGTATGACCTTGTAAATGCTGGCGAAGCACGCAGATTAATTAATATTGCGTTAACACACAAAATTGGTCGTACAAAAGACTTTAGTTTTCCTGTCCTCTGACAGCACTCCTCCCTCATCGGAGCCAAAGGAAAAGCGAAAGGAAACTCGGTGTTTATTTATCGATTAAAAAGCCTTTATTATTTCGTTTTGGTTCGCTTCGTACACAAACAGAGAAGCGTTCAAAATTGAAAATATTTTAATCCCCCAAATGAATACGTCGTAAAGCCTACAAGCTATTTTTTCCGGTGTTGGCCGTTGGTTAATTCAAACGCTTGCTCTAGAGTATATATTACTTTAGCGTTGTTTCAGCGATGTTTTATCGCGATTTAAACTGCAAATGATTTACATAAACACGTCTAATTCATGATCAGTTGTTCCGTTCTTTTTTTATTCTGTCTGTGAAAGTCGTTTACTTTCATTTTCATTTCATATCAAATTAATATTCACTTTCCATTCACGGAATTTCTTTCAGTTTGACCAGAAAAAAATGTGGTTTATGTGTAGACAGACAAACATTTTCCCCATAGACAAAACAGAAATTACCAGTACCACTTAAATCCAATTTCGCACGGTATTGCCAAACACAACCGCAGCAGCGACGGAAGAATAAATAAAAAGTTTAATTACATTTTGTTAAAGGTTTACACAGCCATCGCGGAATCGCCGAAATGAGACAAAATCCAAAGACAGTATAGCTGTGTATCGTCAATTCATTTCACACATTTTAACCTTTCAACTACGACCCTCAAACGGGTGTTGTTTTCACAACCATTTCCTGTTGACTTACGAATTAAATCTAATAACCTAGCCACTTGACATAGCGTTGATTTTGGAGCAGTAACCCCCCTTCGTTTTGTATAACATGCAAACCCACATAACATTGCTAACCAACATTTCTGAATTGACATTATCAGGAAGTCGGTTTATCAGCAAAGTGCGAAAACGCCTGAACTACAAGGCACAAAGCCTCTCTGTCGGCATTTAGTGATTTACTGTCACAAAACCAACAAAAATATTTGGTATAGATCGACATCTCAAAAATAACTTACTTGTCAGTGTAAATCGATAGGGCAACATTTCCGTTCGTGAAAGACACGATTTTAAATGCCGGCGTTTAGGTGTATACCACCAAATAGGTTAAATAGCTCAATGGTATTTCACAACAACTAGATATTATGTGTGAATATTATATATTCACAAAGACATCTTAGGAAAAGCCCCAAGAGAGGAAATGTTTTGTTGTACGGTTTGAAAGAATTGTAGGTTTTATATTTCCTAGCTGGGCGCTAATGTTGTTAGCGATAATCACAGTAGGCGGAAAATCTATTCCTACGCAAGTTTCGTTATGTTTTTGTTGTTTGTTTTCAAAATGAATGATAGCTCGTAAAATTGTTCTACACAAGAGCATGAATATATGGACGTATTATGCACTTTACCTCTAAAATATAAATTATCATAATTTTTGCTTATGAATTGCTCAACCATTCTTCGCGTTTGCTGGGGGGTTACGTTGCCATGGCAACATTCGCTTCTGTGCGCTGATTGGCCGATAGAACGTTCAATGTGCTATTTTGAAGTGAAAATTACTTGTGAAAACCTGGCCTACCCTTTTATTCGCTGTGTCTTCCTCGTTAAGCTTGTGTCTTTTGCTCTCCTCATTACGAGAGTGACAGATCACTGTTGGCTTAAAGTCTTCGCTGTACGAGACTTAAGAGGTACGTTTAGGCATGAATATAAATCAAGACAGTGCCAAGTATTCTCGACGCACGTCTATCACAGAACTTGCGCTGACTCATTCATTTGGTTCAGGGGATTTAAATTGTAATGATAGATGATGATTGTTTTTGTGGGGGTTCATTATTCACCGTATCTCTTTATTGTTTAAAGGAACTCGGATTACATTCGAGTTAAACACAAGGCACAGCAACCAAGTCGAGAGTCGAATGTCGAACTTCACTTCGAAGGCTAAGGTAATGAAGCCAAATAACATGTTGTATAAAAAATACTTGAATAAAATAAATATATTAAATTACACATACGCGCGCGGAGTTTACACAAATTAAAAGGTTGCTTTTCTCGTTTCGTTGACAGGCAAACAGCAGAAAGAAAGAGATGGCGCTGCAATTAGAACTTTGTCCAGAAATATTTCTCCATTTCTCCGCACAGCAAGTACAAGGAGACGACGATGAAGTTTACGAGGCTAGTACCGGCGGTCCAGGATCAATTCGCGATATCTGGAAGAAGTTTATGGCTCCACTAACACCGCCGCTTTCTCCACCGCTTTCTCCCTCTCGACAAACTAGCGGGGCAGTCTCACCGACTTGTCTAACAGCGACGGCAGCAGATACGTTACAGTGTGTCTCAGATATATTAGATCTCGACAACTGCCGTACTTACGTGGCCGAACGCAGCTGTTCAAACCTTGCATCGAAGCTAATTCAAGATTGTATGTGGGGCTCCTCGACACTACAAGAGAAAGTACAGCGTAGAAAACGAGTAGAGGACATATATGATACTCCTTGTTCCACACCACCATCTCTCTACGTAGATTACGTTAGCGGTGAATGTGTCGATCCGTCGAGTGTGTTCCCATACCATATAAACAGTCAAGATTTTCCCAGCGGAGACTCATCGTCAGGTATGTGCGAATTTTAATTGTAATTTTTTAATTGCGCTTGGATAGACCTTAGCAATTTGTCATGAGGTGGTACAATTATTATAAAATCTCGTGTTAAATAATAATATGATGGTAACGGTTCTAAATCGGTGCTGAACTAGAGGCGAAATATTTTTTGTATATCAGTACTTCAATCCGGTCGTTCCTGAGATTTTTATACAACAACTATATTCATCTTATTTTACAGCAAGCGGAAGCGTTGATGAATTATATTTTTATTTGTGTTTCATTTCAGAAGACGAAATTGACGTTGTCACTATCGAGAAGCCTGTTAAGCGTAAAAGTCCAGCAACTTGTAGCAATGTAAACAACAACAACAACACAGAAATGAAGTCATTACGCGAAGACGAACCGACCGCAAAACGACCCAGAATGAATCTAAAACGATCCCGCGAGAATTCGAACAAGGAAGGCAAGGAGACTAGCCCCGATGCGGACTACGAACCATCAACTCGGCTTTCCGGGAAGGAAAAATTTGAAGAGTCCGATTGTAAACGCAATGTACACAACGTTCTGGAGCGCAAGCGAAGAAACGATTTAAAATATAGTTTTCAAGTTTTACGAGACAGTATACCAGACCTAAAAGGATCAGAACGGGCACCGAAAGTGGCGATACTTCGAAAGGCTACTGACTGTATATTGAATCTTCGCTCTGAACAGGAAAGATTACTTGAGGAGAAGAGTTTTCTCGAGAAGAGGCGTCAATCATTATTGCACAAGTTAAAAGCTCTCAAAGAATCCTCGTGAATCGTCTAATACACGCAGGTATTCTCCCTGGAAACATGTATCTGTGTTAAAGTTATTCTATTTAATATATCTTATGTATACAGATGTGTGACTTGGATTTTGGCCAAACTTCAGGCCTATATTGGTCTGGTTTTCGTCCACGGAGAAAACTACTTCCGCTTGTTCGGCGAAAACCAGTCACACGTTATGGCTTATATATAATCCATTTGCTATACGTCTATCCGAGAGAAATCTCTGTATTTTAAAACGACGAGCGTCATTCGCAGTAAACGTTTATAGTTATGAAGTCTCAAGTACTAGTGAAACGATAATGTGTGATTGTTTTCATTCAATGAATTTCTTGATTAGCATATTGATTAAAAAAGCGCGGGAAACGACGTCATAAATTAGCATAAAATATTTTCATACTTTGCATTCATGGCGTCCTGACCCAAATCAAAAAATTTACTTGTGGTGATTTGAAAGATATTTTTGTATACAATGTAAACTAATGAGTATTAATGAAACTAGCCCGCTTTAAAGGGAGTACTTTATATAAATAGTTCGTATATAACTAAGTTTATAAATATTAAGCTCTGGTGGACGTTTTTACAATGTAAAAAAACGGAGGACGCTAAATCCGTGATTTGAACCGTATTGGTAACTTGTATCAAGCATATGTGAACAGCACGTTTTGTTTTTGTGGACGGTATAAATGCCACTACATATATTTATGTTAAAGGGTGTTGCGTGTAAATAATAAAGGCTGACAGTCTGCAAGCACAAAACTTGTATAAACAATGATATTGTTAAGAACATAAATTATATATTGGTTATTTTGTTAAAGTTGCGAGTAAGGAAAATAATTAGAATGTTTCCACAATAGTGTTGTGTCATTGCTTATTTTGGCGGGTCTTTATCACAAATCTATATACATTCGATATTGTGCCTTGTCGGACATGGAGGTATTTTTAACGGAACATTAAATATGCAAGCTCTTTCATGGTACAGTCTCGAGTTTCAAATGGGTTTACCCTGCTTAAACTTTGACCTTCAGCGTTTACCCGCGATAAATTCTTCGCATAGCATCGAGATTTTTTTGGGCGCTTTACACCGCGAAATACCACCCTGAATAACATGTTGGCGGGCAAGGTCAAATAGAACTTGTTATCAGTCGGAATTCGAAGCGTTTGAGCGTTTCTCTTTCATAAGCTTTAACGACTTATTAAATTTCGTTTTTGCAGTGAACAAGAGGAATCCGGAATTATGTGGGCGCTATGGTATTGTGTAATTTCCTGTGAATTATGTTTTTAAACCAATCAGCCAGGTGGTCCCCCCGTCAAAGGCGCACTGAGATGCTATGCTGAGCCCTGTTTATCGCTATAAACCTCTCAAAATTTTTGTGGTATGAAAGATCCGTTGGGATTCGCCCGTACGCATCTCCCCGACCTTTTGACCGCATGAAAAGGCATGTTTTTAGACCGAATAGTTTTACATTGTTTAGTGTGCTCTGAAAAGCTCTATTTACATTAATGCATTTTATAAATCCAAGCGTAATCCCCATGTACCACTTTATAAATAGCCAACAGTTTTTAATGGCATCTGCTTGTGTGCATTCAAATCAATTAGTTTTCGGGACAAAAACTATTTAAGCCCTCATAAAAGTAGCAAACAAAGGCAAAGCGTGTCCCAGTCCAAATTCATCAAGTCCAAGGGCAAAGGGGATTTTGACAATTTGACTTGGCGTCCAAAATTGAAACGCCGTTTATTACCGCAGGCGATATTTGTTCTGATATAATTGAGCATATTTGATACGGATCATATGAAGCCCTGCTACTTATTCGTACGACGGAATCTCGGGCAGTTATGGAGAAACAGTTTTGCCATGTAAATGCAATTCGTTTAAACCAATATTCAATCAATGCTGAACCGTTGGAGAGGTCTATTTGTTTTCACAAAAGTCTTTGTTTCGTGTTATATATATGGAGTGACGCTTCCATTCGTCCTTGGATCGGAATTGATGACTGTAAACAGTTTGAAGTAGAAGTGTCAAAAATATTGGCAATTGAACGAGCGTTTCCGCTGCAATTACGCATGCATAACAAATAGGTATAGACTATAGGGCAAAATTTTTCCCAACCGGTAGCGAGGAGAGTGTAAATTCCTGGTGAAAAATACCTGATTTTCTTTCTAATAACGGAGTCCAGTTATTTAAATCTAATCGAAAGTAAAAACTGGGAATACTTGTTTTTTTTTGCCTTACTGAGAGCTTTTTGATGTATAATTATAGAAGTTTAACTGTGTAAAAGTTAAAAGACAAAGGCCATCTTTTTGTTATATTATACTACAAAGTATAATATTAATGATAAAATACGAAAGTGCTATAAAGATTCGAAACTGATATAGTAACATGAGTTGAGATGTTTCGAAATTTCAAAATTTAGCTTCGCGCAAATCTGTGATTGGACCGCGAGCTTTAAACGAGAATTAGCATAATTTCCATAATTGCGAACGAGAATTGCGTCACTGATAGAATCAAAACTGTATTGTCTATTCATTCGATTTGATACCAGATGATAAGGGTTTAATCCTATAACGAACCTTGATATCTTTTTTTATGGTAATTTCATTTGCCATATTTTGTCTGTAGCGAGTGATAAGTTCCTATAATTCGCATTTTACGCGATAATATTGTATTTCCTTCTAAGTTACACTTTCGTTATTTCCCCTCGCACTTATATTGTGTTCTCTTTTGTCACTTAGTCACTTTCGACTTTGTTTTAGTACTGAGAGCGACACGCAAGAGTATATAGATCCTATATTATCAACTATGAATAGATCGATATCGGTCGTGTCTTAATATAAGAATATCAGGATCCTGTATTTGGCTGAAAAATTCCCAAGTTAATTCGAATGAGGCATGTTAAGCTTTTTGATTTATTCTCATGTGATATGCGATGATTCATTTTGCCCCCAAGTCATCAGTAATCTCTTTTGCAAGATAATCCCCTGCCCAAGTTTCCGTTATGGGTCATTTTTAAGCCAGCCACGCAACAAATCACCATGCACAATATCTGATTGTTTGGCACGATTGATTCGAAATCTTTCTGTTAATAATACATATATAGCTGCAGCCATTTTCATCGCTAGACCACTGAAGCCACCAAAAAACAAGAGTGCACGATATAAGAGCTAAAAGGGTGCAGTCTCTCGTTGGTAGAGATCTGCTCCGGGCGACTAAAACACCGACTGACGGGGGTCATACCATACATAAACCGGTCTCACACGAGTAGGAGACAACGGTAGAAGATCGTTTTAGTCTTTTTCATATTTAGAAAAATCGTCTTCTAGGACTTAGCTGCATGAGGACGATAATGAATTAATGAATTAACCGCTCTATATAAAGGCATGCACCAGTAAAGCTACGAGTGATATAAATATATATAAGGCTATTTGGTCTGCTTTAATTCGTTAAATATGTTTGAATGCGATGAAATCTTCAACTATATATAGTCCTGTATACTTCTCAATGCGCAGTCCAGGTTAATTTACTCCGACGAGGTCCTTCCAAACTTGTTACGAACAGGATCTGAAGCAGGATTATCAGGTCTTCAGTATATTAAGTGATTAATTAAGGGTAGGTTAAGTACCCATGTCCTCGTGTCTCTCTCAAGACTCCTCCTTCACTTGAGTACTTCTCCCTCACCCCTCCCCCTGAGGGCTAAATATAATGACTTTAAATACATTTAGTTTGTATAAGCTTCGCGCGCCTTGACAATGATCAAGGCCAATCATCGCTTTCATGTGTATTATTGTAAAAATAACATGCATAACTTTCCGTACATTTTCCGAACATCAAAATTCTTAGTTTATTTGTCACGCAATTTAAGTATTCAAGAGCTGTGGTACGACAAATATGACATCCTATTGTGCATAAATATCTGTACTGACTAGACACGGCTAACTGAAACGCTCAAATTTTTCTCGGTTTATCAAAAAGCAGGATTGAATAATGTGACCACAATGGCAGAATATGCACAATGTGATTGCCATTTGCAGTATTTCTGCAAATGTTGCCTATTTAGAAACGATGTGGCGCCAAGGTGCAAGGCAGGTTTACTATATATATGCACGAATCGTACTCATATAGTTGCAATGGACAATCTTATTCTCCTAAGAACATATGCATGCAATATTGATATGCTTTAAATACCATGCGATTAGTTGGTGCTCTTTTTATTTGTAATGATTTGTACTGATAGCATTTTTCTTCGCATTATATGCATAAAGATAACATATTGTCAAACACACACACATGCAAGTATATAAATATATTCAAACCAATTATTGCTATATTGGATTTGGATGAACGCGACATAAACCTCCTCTTTGATTATCCCACTCGATCAAGGAGTATGTTGAAGGCTTTAGCAGTTTAGCTCACATCATGTGCAGTTGTGTAAAAATTTGTGCTATTGATAAAATATGTAAAATAAAAACAGTAAAAGTATGTTTAATTATTCCGCCAGGGTACGTACTGTAATTGATCTGTCACGGGGAGAAAAGTCTTTATATCATGTACTCTGACAAGAATTTATGCTATGCTAAGTAGAGAATACTTGAACATCAATGGTAGACTTTCCACAATCTTGACTTTCAATGGAGCACTGTCTGTCTATCTTGCACGTAGCATGTCCGTTGTAATTGGTTAACGGTCCCTGAACGTAACAACTATTCTTTAATCTCCACGTGGACATGAAGATTGACATTCCATGAGAAACATCAGGGACTTAAAGAAAATCTTAGCATCGGCCGGAAATCAGTTATATAAACGTCAAAAAGCCATTATATCTTTGACCAAGGTGTAGCCCACGTGTGGAACACGTGCTTTGAAACTTCCTAGGGTTTATCAAGAAAACTCATCACTATGCACGCATTCAGCCCACACATCCCCTCAAGAATGATCGCTCGTGAATGACAAATGCCTTGCACATGTTCCAGATCAATCCAAAAAAAGATAAATGATCTTTTTCCAGGTGGTCGATTATATCGTTGTGGCATGTGCAATCATCAAAACTTCCTTGGATCTGCACGCGTTAAAACGCAAGGCTCGTACCGACAGGCGCTTTTTCGAATAACATTAATTACGGCGCATTTAGCTACGCTCCGGCCCGGCCACTGATCGCTATACGTACGAGGCTGTTGAAACGTACTCACGTCTGCTTACAAACTATTAGAAGCTGCTGAAGCACGCGTTGCTTGCTCCAGCTGTTGTGAGAAGTTAAGAATAAGTTGCCAGCAACTTGTAATTCGTAACATCCCCGGTGGAATTATTAGACCTATTGCAAGGTTGCTTTCTGATGCAAAGTCTGGTGCATGCAGTCAATGCCAGTCATGATATCATGATATAGTAACATTGCTCTCGAAGCCAACGACGTGATATTGCTGCACTAATACAAGTTTGAAGTCGCAAAGTTGACACATCTGGCCAACATGTTTTTCCATGCTTAACGACAGTTGCCGGGGCTAGCATTAGGAAAACAACTTGTTCGCATTGGACAAAGCTTGCTTGCTTTCATGTAATGGTAGAATTTATGTGGGTGTTGCAAACGTAATCATTCAAATCCAATTTAACCCACGCATCTTCTTAAGGAGGGCTTGGTCACTGACAAACGACTTGCACATGTTTAAGATATCCAAACAATTTATTTAATTCCTAGCTAATTTTGTATTTTATAATGGCCGATTTGCACTGCAAAAGTTCCTGCATAACAACAATATTGAGTATTGACAGTCAATGACAGACTATTACTGGAATTTGGTCTGGTCAGAGGCGAATTTATTAAAAAAAAATTGACAAATACGAGCGTGGATATAGAACAGCGAATTAATCACTATTTTAGCCCCTCTCAATTTATTCAGCAAATACGTGGAAATTCTCTACAGGATATTCCATTTGTGACCCTGCAAATGTTGCTGCAGGATGAAAAACGTGCAAAAACAATTAAAGACTGCAAATGCTATCGGCAATGTCTATGTGTTAACAGTTTGAAAGTTATGCCTGATGATGGGCAGCAACCTATTTTTGGTGATCACTCAAGAATGAAATGCTTTGTTATTTTGAAACAGTTTTCTTCGCGACTGGGCACAAACAATAACCCGGCGTTTCTCGGTGACATACAGGAACCAGACAGGTTTTATTAATTTTAGGAACGATATATGTTAAAACAGATCTATACGTCCTAAAAGGTGAATTAAAATGTGCCATGTGCAATACGTTGTTTTTCTATCGGAAAAATTCTGAGATAAGTTAGATCTTTAATGCATATTTTTGCACTTAAAATATCTGAAACTCAGTTGTGTACATATTTTGCCGATTTTCGTTGACCAGCGTTGGCTTGCAATGCGTTACTAGAATTGTTGATAATTTGACCTCTTGATCTATGGCAGGCAACTCTGTTATGCAATAGGTAACCAATGCGACATAAAAGAACCTTTTAAAACTTTTGTATACATGGTTACGTGTCGAAAGCATGTATTAAACCCTTGAAAGGATATCTCAAGTGTTGCGACTTCTAGGGAAATCTAGTAACTATTACGAGGAAAGCTAAAAACGCGGAGACTTGGGCATCGTTTTTTAGGGTAAAGGGATATGTATCTGGTTATCATGCATGCCCAGTTGCATTTTGAAATGGTCATGGCCCCAATTAAATGCTGCTTTTCATCAATAAAAAAAAACATCTGACAAAGATCAAATGCATATATCTTCGAATTGCCATTTTGTTCTATACCAAGAAGCGCTCTCGTATTCCTCAGCGAGTTCAAGAAAATTTTAATTGAGATTTATAGATATCGCATGTTTCTGGGAATGCCCTTGAGTGTCCTAGAAGTCCTTGACTTCGATAAGTAACTGAATGGGTAATTTGAAACGCTATATGTGAATTCCATGACAGTAGAAAGGCCAAAGGATTCCCGATTCTTATCAGTTAATCTGTTAAACGCCACACCATATATCATACCGACTGAAGAATCACGGTCGCAATGATTTTCATCAAAATATTGGCCTTTTCTGTTTGATTAATTAACATAGTAAATTTTAAATTACCTCTTCAATAGGTAACAAAAGTTAAAGACTTTTTTAGAATTGTAAGGATTATAAAAAACGTTTACCAACAATGCAACTCATTAATTACTATATCTAAATGGAATTTTCGTTTTTAATTGTTTTAAAAGGAAGTTATATTCTTTTGACAGCCGTCTTTCCATCAGCTTACGAACGCTGGTAAACATGTTTACGCGTTTTTAATTAAGAAGCACCTTGGGAGATCCGCAGCATTCTAGAATTCGCATAACTTACAAGTACCACTCGTGATATTGTATTGAAATCTCGTTCTCACCCCCCTCCCGACCACTCCTATAGGACTTGTTTCGGCGGGATTGCTTTTTTTTAATTCAAAGCTATTTTTTCCGCATACCAACTTCCTCTGTCTGCGCAAATGTTTTTTTTTTAATGGAACTCGATCTTAATTCAACACGGGAGCCTTTCATGCCCTATATGTAAGACCTTTATGAAATAACTTCCTTCTCTCAAGATGTATATTCTGAACTCTTCTCACAAGCACTCGTTTCATTTTGAGTGGATTTTCATTCTGTTTCCAACACAGAATTAAGTATTAACTATGCGAAAATGTGAAACGGAGAACAAATATTTAAGTTAAGTATCAAAACGGCCACGCTAATGATTGTAAAGAGCGTATAGTCAAAATATTGGATTTAAGGCGTTGATTGTTTTTCCAGAACGAATCCAGGCAGTAGCGACGATTTGTCAGTCGGGTGGAAATATGAATGAACCTTGAGGCGAAAAAGTCGTAGTCAAAAGCTAATATAAATAATCTCCGCCAATTGTCTATACGTCGCTTCAAGAATTTAATAAAATTAGGTCCAGGTCAAACATCTCACTTCTCATCAATCTTATGTGTCAACCGTTAAAAAACAATAGATGAGGCATCCCAGCTTTCTTTCTATTGTTTGGAACAAGAGCATGAGAAAGCCTAAAGCCTAGGCTTTAGTTATATATGAAACAGAATTGCACTCTTCTGGAGCGTAAATAAATATTTATACCCAACTTAGTTCAACATTTGTTTTATCAACATTAGCTGTAGTACCACCTCTGGGTATAAATAAAGCAGTCTCATATAACACTATTTTGATAGTCTAACGTTTACATCAAGCCTAAAAAACAAGACCACTTCGTTTCAAAAAAACTATTTTGTTTAAGATCAATGAGTTCACGAAGGCTTGGAACCACCCATACTTAAAAATTGTTTGTTGCGAAAGAAGCTTTTGTGGACTTGTTTCTGCAGGAATCGAAGGAACGAGCCCTAAAATATCATCGTCATCAACCGCACTCAATGATGTATTTTTAGTAGGGAAACGCGATATCTCCATTTAACTCTAAAAGCTTTATATTCTTTAAAATTTAATATATTTTGCGACACAAAATAAATTAAAACAACTTTGAAGAACTCTGTTTAAGAGAAAGTACACGTCACGAAACTACTTCCACGCGTGTTTCACGCGCGGGTTAGTAGCCAGCCGCTGCATGAATCATAATTAATGTGCTAGAAAGGGGCATTTCAGATTGTTTTTTTTGCATGTTTCCCCTCCACACGACCATTACGTAGGCCCATAGCTAGACCGCTTAATTGGGGGGAGGGTATTCATATATTCATGTTTATATACACCGCAGGAGCAATAGGGTACAATGCAAAGAAATCTGTCGGGCATAAGACGAATATATAAATACACCCTCCCGATAAATACATCTCCCAAGCTACGGCCCTGCCTTGGCTTATGTTTACAATACGACCTCCAAAGCTCCGATAAAAAATTGGGTACTACACGTGTGAATACTAATTATATTTTTATTCAATAAATTAATTACCATTGTGCTAAACAATCGCACATATTATAAACATTTCAATTCAATGCAATATGGGTTAAAAATATTCGAACAGTTAAACTACGACGCCCGAATGCTTTGGCCGGACATCTCTGAGAAATTTTTTACATCTAGTGCGAATAAAATACAATCTCAAGGACGTGTGTTACATTAGGATATATAGGAACAATTAGCGAGTTAGACTCTCTTGTGCATTGTATTATAATCATGTCCTTATTGTATAGTCGATTGATATAATGGGATGATAAAGGTGACGGTGGGATTACGAAGTACGTTGACACACAGCGATTTTTACGGCTAATACAGTAATAAATGATACTTGAAATATATTCGTTGTTTGGCGTCATAATATATCAGGCACCATCTTGGCTGAATATGCGAGGTTTGCTTCTGTTTTTGAGTTTTCTTTTTTCACATTTTTCTCGTTTATTTTTTAACAACTTAACACCTCTGTCGTAATACAGGGTCGCCAGCAAAATACAACAACGATGATAACATGAAGTACACATATTTTTAAATATAATTCAAAATGGCGGCAATTGCAAACCACCTACACGTGGAAAAGTGCTGCTATTGACTACAAAATTTCGTTGCATTATACAAAAATAATTCCGAAAAAATCGCAGTGCGTGAACTTGCTTTAAAAAATCTCCGGTATTCCGATTAATGGAAAGACGATGCTATGGCAAGGGGCTCGTTATATCGTGTGAATTTTATTAAATTTAACAACTTCTAAGAATTTTTATGAGCCGCAAAAATCGGCTTCTTAACAATAAATAACATTCACGATGGATTACAAACGCTTTCGGGAAAAACACGGCTGCGGCCGAAAACTCGGCGAACGGCCAACGAGGGATCACGAATGTCAGCGCACGGCCTTCTGGGGCGGTAACATTGACGCCGGAAGTAAAGCTTCGAGTTCATCTGCTGACCGATATAAAAATGCCGCAGACTCGCGATAGCTTGCGATCAGCTGACGTATCGCAGTCACTTCGGTTGTATTAAGCTTATACTCGGCACCAGCTTTCGCTCGTGCTGCAGCGAGCGACTCTACAAAATAGCGGGAAAAGTAAAATTATTGCAATGAAATTTAGTGAAAAATCTAGCAACTGATCCAACAAAAATCACAATGAACCTATGACAAATATGTTTAAATGAAGCAACAATCAAGCTCATAATTCACAAAGTAACGAAATTAACTTTCAAATCTCAAAGCCAAGAACAAATTATATGAACTGAAGCCGCGTTTACACTACGTGCTTTGACCTGGCCTGGACCAGGCTTAGGCCTAGATGTGAACGTTATTTATCCGCAAAATCCAGGCCAACAACAGAAGGTGGCCTGGACCAGGCCTAGGCCTAGATATTAAGGTTGTTTATCCGCAAAATCCAGGCCAACAACAGAAGGTGGCCTGGGCCGGACCTGGGGCAAGATTTTGGTAATGTGAATGTTCAGGCTTTACCTAGTCCTGACAAATTTTGAACTTAATGGTATGATTTGTATAGGATACATACAATAGTGACAGTGTGAACGTGGCACATATTACCTAGAGTTGTCCTAGACATAGTCCAGTCAGGTCTAGGCCTGAAGTGTAAACGCGGCTCGAGAAAAGTATTAGCTTTTCTGGTGTAACATTGTGGAATGACGATTGTTCACATTGAGGTGATTGTTTTTAGTGCTGAAACGTTACTGTTTTTGTATATAAGATTAACCAATAATAATAAAACAACGCAAGGTACAGAAACTCACCTGGTGCGACGGCAGCGAGGGGTAACCTTGACATGGTTGAGACCATTGACCTGGGGGCAGGTGGAGGGGGTGTGCTAGATGATGATGTCATAGTTGATACACTCTGTCTGCTGGTTTCGACAGGTGATACGGCGCGACCGTTGGTAAGCGACGATTTATTTGATGACGCTTGCGCCGGGATGGGCGGTGTTTGTACCGCGGAAACTTCAGCCCGATCACCGAGATTCGCCTCGTTTGCACATGCCGAAGCAAGGATATTCTGAAAAAAAGCAAAACGTTCAAGAGATGTAACGGATACGATCGTAAATAGGGATAAACACGCCTAGAGATAATGACCCTAGCGAGTGCAGTTGATCTCGTATGATGGTCAAATTGATGGAGATATTTATTTATCATTTAGCGGTTTTAGGAGAACGACTGGCTACTTCAGAGACCGGACCGACTTTCAACTCGTGTGACTGCAAGATAGATATCTGCAATATATACTTGCCCAGGGCTGTATTTTAATATGAAAGCACACAATTTTACAACCCAAATCGATGGTCACACGAATGAGAATGACCAATAAAAGAAATTCTATTATTTCGACTTACATTGACTTCCTGCATTTGGGCAGAGGACATAGAAGGAACTGCATTCTAAAATCGGGAAAGATATATTTGTTAACTTGTTGGCAAAGCAGGGCTAGGAGAGAGAAACCCATTTGTTTCACGTCTTTCCTAAACGATTTTAGTGTTCCAGTGTTTACTGAGTTCACTGGTTAGTATCCACAAAGACATAAAAAACAGAAATGGGGCATTACTATTTGGTCAGCGGTTCTTCTCAACGGCTCGTTCGGTTTCTTCATGCGTCTACAAGACTTCAGGTAGGTCCTAATTCTCTTTCTTGCACGGTCGTGAAACTCCGGAAACTGTCGGTGACAAGCGTGAATGATCGCCAGCACCTTCTCTTTTGGTTGCTTCGAGATCGGAACCAGCCGATCAAGATTTTCGTCCACGAACAATCGAACAAACACCTGAATGAACAGAAGAGACTTTGAATACGGCCTAAAGGCTCGAGTCTCGTTTAACGTATTGATATTTGATTTCCCTCAAAATTATGCACATTCAAAAATATAGCCAGCTATATTTTAACTGCTGCTAGTTAGGTTCTCACAGACATGTTTTCGGCTAACGATTCTGTTTAGAAAAATCCATCTACAACAAGTTATGATCGTGATAATGCTTCATGCAGTAGGAAGCCTTATTGATGCCAAACCGATGTAAAAAATTCTGAATAGCAAAAAGATGCCTACATTAAAAGCTTTAAGTCTTTCAGGATTGACATTTTCTGGAACAATCTTCTCCAATTCTCCTTCACCATCGTCGCCATCATCCTCCTCTTCATCTTCTTCATCTTTCGTATCTTTCAGGCCTCGTTTTCGACCACCACCCATTCGTCGATGCATTCCCAACATCTGCTCTGCTGGGGCCTACGAAGAGCAATGGTTGCTTAACTATGGTAGACTGTAGTGCTTCCAAATCAACTCAAAACAGTTTAAATTGATTGTGGCGCTTTTAAAAGGTAGTAAAACAAGTTAGTGGGACACCCAGAACTATTGTAGGGTCGTGAACGAGTACTCCTGTCCATATACTGACGCATATTACAACTTGCAATGCTTTGCATTTGCTGTTTAAAAGCAATAAGAGTTGCCCCCCCCAGTTCCAGCATCTCTGACAAGAAAAGCATTTTACAACTTTGACTGAATCTCATCATCTCAATTTCTCTTACCTTTCCATTAGGGTCACCAGAAACTTCAGGATTTCCAGCTCCATCTTCAATCCTGTCTGCCTCACTGAGATTTCCTGACTGAGGACTCCTGGTTGGTGAAGTTGATGGGCTACCTGTGCCATTAGAGATCAGTGGAGGCGGTCCACGCCTGGTACTGCCATTCTCTGTGTAATTTAATACTCAATTAACCAAAGAGATAACTCACAGGAAAACAAAAGTGCATTATAAAAAGATGAATGTAAGTTATGTAACAGTAATTTCACACAGAGTAATCTTACATTTGCTATCTTAATTTAATCAATAATACATCGATTGTTGTAAAACATTCCTTAAAAATGCAATAAATCAATGTTTCAAAACCTTACCTAGCAGACTGGCTCTAGTTGGTAAACTGATTTTATGACGAATAAGAAATTTCTCCACCCAACCACTGGATGCTTTAAAATCTGGACATTCATCTCGTACTAGTGCCAATGCTTGATTTTGGATGGCTTCTCTTGAGACAGGCAAACCATTTTGACTACGTTCCACAACCCAATCGAGCAGTTGTTTATCTGTCTCGGGGGAGTAGCTAAGACGACGGCCACCACCCCCTCCTCTCCTTGTTCTCGTAGTGGCCTTCGCCATTATGCTTGCCCCAGAAATGTTCACTTTCTTTGGTAGGCCTGTCCCCTGTACTGCACTATCAATGGCTGAATCCAAGTTAGCCGAACTCATTATTTGCGGCATCATACCTGGCTCTCCTTTCACCATAGCTTTTCCTAAAGAGAATGTGTTTTATCAATTCTAATCAGTGGTGCAGGGGGGGGGGGTTCTTGACCCTCCAAAATAATTGCAAAAAATTTTGAGAAACAAGGAATATTTTTCTTAAAGTGGAGGCACTATTGGCTGAAAATTGTGAAATAAAAGAAGGGGTTCCAATAGAAATTTTAAGGTACAAGGATTTTTCTTTTAAAAGTGGAGGCATTCACAAGTTCTGAGAAATTGTAAAAAAGACAAGAGTGGTGAGTCCTTAATTTTGCCACCCACTAGTATGCTATAAGGCAGAATTAAGTTAAAAATATAAATTCTCAGTATGACTTTGACCTACTATAGGCTTTATAATATATCAGAACACCAGATATTTTATTAAAGATTTTCTAAACATGCTATATTTGTGATTTAATGATACTTAAAATGCTTAATAGGAAATGAAATCTTATAAATATATTGTATTTAAAATTAGAGATACTAACTGGCTTTATCAAATTGATCTTAGCCGTATGGCATCAATAGCCTATGTTTCATATAGCAAAAAACCCACAACTTACCATTAGGAAGATATTCTGGATCACCATTTCCGTTCTCATGTTCGCTATCCTCAGGACTTGTGTCATATTTATCCAAAATATCCATGCCATTCTCATGAATATAGTCATTATCTATCTTTTCTTTCTTCACTCGTTTACGAAGCGGTTCTTCGTTCATTTCCGCTTCAAAGTCCTTGTCATTGCTTGAAACAGATCCTTCACCATCAGTTAGGTCCTAGAATTTACCCATGAATATTTTGAAAAACATTGCTATGTAGATCTGAAATGCAAGTTGCCAATTTAAGCTCTTCTGTTTTTACTCAGTGTTTAATCATAGATTACAGTCAAGCAAATGTTGTAAGAGAACCTTGTAAATACTTTTTAATTTACTTGCAGTAGTTTTGCCACTGATGGATGGGTAGAATATTCTGGTATAAAAGACCAAGTATGTACCCTAGGGACCAAGTCAGACACTAGAGAGTACCTCTTAATGTGAAAATCACTTTGGGTGAAGTCAATGGACATAAAACAAGTACATTTAAAATATTCTAGGATAAGACAGAGACAGATCATTGAGCAGGTTGGATTCCCAGTTAAAAAATGTTTTCAACACTGAAATAGGAACCAAGGCTGCCCAACTCTGTTTGATCACAGCCTTAGGAGTGGATTTCTGTGTGGTCTCCCTTATCTCACCATCATCTAAATCTGGTTGTTTAATCATGTGCCACTCAAAATGCTGTCTATATTCACAATTTTGCCTTCTCTAATACTGTAGTAGGAATATATTTTGTTTCGACAATTAATGCTATGAAATGAAAGCACCAAGATAACTTTGTATTGTTCTGAGAAACCTTGACCTTATAAATACTATAACCATATAGCTATTTCCATAAAACAACTTTGAAAGACATACCAAGCATAACAACAACCCTTCAGTAGATTCACCATAGCATACAAGGGCAGTTCAAAAATGACATAAGATGAAATTTGATAAAGGGTTAATCATGTATATGGTGACTTGCCAATAAAAGATCACACAGGGTGCCCGCCCTTTGCAACAAATTTAATTTTACAGTACATGAGGCCAATCTTGTTTCATGGCAATATGGAAGAGTTTTGCAGTGCTATCAACAATATTCATTATAAATAGCTCATAATAATAAAAGCTGACAACAGAACATACATTCCAATGGGTGCTAATGAGTTCATGCCCCAGTACATCAGAGCATAATTCTGGAAACCATGATCTCTCTATAGTTTTGGAACCAAAGTCTCCGAAAGAAAAAAACGAATGAAGAATGTCTCGGATCTGCGAACAAGGCAGGTGTCCATTTAAAAAAATTGAGCAATAATCTAACTAAGGTTCTAGGAATCTCAAAGGGCCACACCAAGAACTAATGACGGTTAGAGAAGCATTTGAAACTGGGATATTAACACAGCTAATAGCGTTCACGAAGACGAATTTGTAAAGTTTTAGCCTGAAAACGAACAAAATTGCTAGAACAGGTAAATTACTGTAAATGTTTAGGTGCCAATGTTGGCGTCGATTTGAAATATCAACTCCATATGTCGTACGAATAATGGATTGCAGAAAAATAACCTCAAGAAAAACCGTAGAAATATGCTCTTGAACGATTAACTAAATGAAAAGCTCCAATTTATACAAGCCACGCTCTCTTTTGATGCTATATACATAGACAATTGCCCAACGCGTAAACAGGGCATGCCATTGTTCCCCTATATTGGAGCGAACTGTCAAGAGCAAACACGCTTTTTCAACGGGAAATTTTGTAGCGTTTCTGAAAAGATTATACCTATATAATCGCCAGTTTTCCAGCCCGGTCTATTCTCTACAAAACAGCGAAGGAGACCGCTCGATAAGATCAAATTTCAGCTCGCGTATGCAGATTTCTACATGCCCCTTTGAAATAATAGACGCCACGACCAACAGAAAAGAGCACGCCAGTTCTGGCGCCCAAATTCATCGAACTTTACTGATTTCTTTTAAAATTCGACTTTATATGAAACGGGAACAATACCTTAGTAGTTTTTCGGCCTTTAGAACGGCCAGTTTCCGTAGCAGATGCTGCCATATTATGCACCAATTGTAAGTGTTTTCGACAATCAAAGAGGGTCTACTTCGACAAGGCCAGGCCGCACCCTCGAGTAAATCGGCGTTCTTTCGGTTTAAAAAGCCTTAAAAACACCGCCTTTTCGTCGTGCCTTAGAGAAGAAGCCCCCGTGCAACTTCAGCCCGAAGGAAATGACGATACCTGGCGTTTTCTGCAAGAAAGACGAGCCAAAACGGCTTCGAAACAAACGCGGAAAGACCCAACCGACAACTTTCTCTTGCTTTCCCTTTGTTGGTAGGCTGGTAGCTGACGTCATCGCAACAAGGTCACGTGCTATAACGCGTGCTTACCGGAAGTGCAAATCCCAAATATATTCCCGTCTTTATTTTATTGATAAAATTTGCTTCAACATAATTATGGTACACGTTTTGTTTTCGAAAAACGGTTAGGTGGTAAAGAAGAGAAATGAATACATGTTTGGTTGCATTTGGATTACCATTGCGTTGAAGTATTTGAAAAATACCACTAGCAACTCAACTAGGTCCCAGGGTCCAAGGTTGTATCGACTATAACCCAGTGTTATAACACCACATTTTTTGATGATTATAATTCACCCGAAACAGCCGACTGACGAAAATTTAATTCAAGGATTGCCACATGGCCGCGCTTAGGTCTAAGCCGTACACAGAGGGGGGAAACGAGGCATTGGTTGCCGCGTCCCCCCTGGAAAAATCCCTGCCCTGGCTTTGGTTAGATTAATAATAAACACATTTACCTCGTGATCGCTTTCCACGTAAACGGGGGGGACGCCATGCTTCACTAGGATGGAATTTGAGGTCTGAATTCGAAGTTTGCAGTGGTTACAGCTCATGAGAAAATACGACACAGCTTCACGGGGAAGAAAGGCGTATGTTTGAGATACCTAGGGGAAGAGAATAAGAAATAAACAACGAATAATTTAATCATTATCAAAACTTTTGTTTCAGTCTGGCTAAAAACATGAAAATTGTTTCCCGTTAAATACCCTCCTTAAATGTTTAGGATGTGGTATAAATAATTCTCACTGGTATCATAATTCTACTTCACCATTGCTACTGGTATAAATAATCGCAATTTTATCTAAGTTGCATTTTCAGTACCGTCCCTTGTTTGGGCCATGACTGAAAAAATCGTCATTTTCGAAAACCATCTTTATACTCGGCATACACCAAATGTGTGCATATGATTTTATTAATACTTGAACTTGTTTAATCACTAGCTAAACACGTGATCATCGAGCCGAGCGTGGATTAACGGGAACTCCGATAGCAAACTGTCGCCAAAGAGGCAAACCACTCAATGGGCAAAGCCAAGAGGGCGGTCTACATTCCTGGAGAAATTAATACCACGCAGTGCTTGGCGAAATCTTATTGGAGGAAAAAGTTGCATTTGTGGTTGGTATGCATAACCAAATTGATTTTACAGTAATTTCGTAATGATCACAATGATATAAGTCCCCGTGTCGCCAGTCGAATCGTCGTGATAAAACTTCCGTAGTTTAGCAATTGACTTTAAAGTGACTAACACTCCAGAATGAAAGAGATGCAGTGAGAAATAGAAAAACATAAAAGCGTGGTAGACCTACCATTGCAAGACAGATGGGGGTAAATGGGCATGCTTCTCAGTGTATACTTGTAATTTTCTCAATCAAACAATCATATAAACTGAATCAGTAAATCTAACTATAAACTCTATCCGAAATTTTCAACCATCAAATAAAACAAGTCAAAGCTCAAATACTTATTCCTACCCCTCCCCTCCCTGACCACTATATATATTTAATTCTTTTTATCGGGAATGCATCGTCTTATTCTATCATATACTATTATAAAGGCCACCATTATTACCACCTATGCTTCTGACTATTAACCTTGACCAACAACAACTTCCAACTGCATTCCGTTCAGGGCAATTTGATCACGGATATTGTGTACAGGAATCAACATATAGGAATTTTTAAAAAAGCCATTCAAGATGAAATTTCTAAACCATTATAGCAATACTGGACTATAAGGTCCGCTGACAATATTCGCTGTTATATTATGATTACAAACTCATGATTTACCCCCTGAAAATGGGGAAAAAAACTAAGAAACTTCAACCTTATCTGAGAATGTTAGCATCATGGCAGGAATCCTCTCCAGCTGTTAGGATTCTTTGCCAAATATTATATTCCTGCTGTTCAGGAATGGGTTGCCAGATAAGGACAAAGGTGTCAGAGAGATTAAGATTGAAAGCAATATAGAAACGAAACGAAAGGCATGCATACATTAGGTATAAGATATTGCATTAGTAAATACAACGTACACTGACTATACTGTAGTCTCAACACGGGACACGGTTTCAGAGAGGGTTCTGACCTAACACATTTAAATGAAACTAAGTGTAATAATCATCTGCCGGCAAGGGTGGCCATATCAGGTCATCAGCTTTAAACAGTCCTGCTTGGCGACAAACAACAGACTTCAGTCAGTTGGAACTAGAGTCCTCTGGGAATGGACAGACACAGGTTGTCGCAAACACGACGGCAAACAAGTTGAATATGCAACCTGCTCAAATTTGCACGCACTCTTCAACCGAATGTCACCGCACAGGTTGTATACGCATTTTAAGCACGGTGCATATTTCTGGTGCAGATATTCCTGCAAATTCCCGTGTGAAAAAAGGTACCATGCGATCAGTATTTGCCCACTCGATTCCAAACTCGTCCGGTATATATTCTTAAGTATTAAAGAAGTTACCTCATAACTGAGCCGGATACAGTTTCATTCAGTAAACGAGCAATCCCCTTAGACGCTTCAGGATGTCCAAATCTCGTATAAAATAAAAGTTTTAAGACACAAAAGAATGACTGATCGAGGGTCGCTAAAAGAAGACGTGGTGAAGCGATAGCCGGAAAAAAGTTGGACTGCAATCAGATTAATTTGCAAAATAGACCGGAATATTTTTAATAAGTCGACATCGGTCCTAATCTCCTCTCGTGTCCTCATCAATCTTGTTGTACCAAATTGGAATCGTCAAATATCAGTTAAATTTTTGTTGAATATCGGACACCCTTGCCATAAATTCCAACCCTCCGGCGAAAGTGTTCGAGTTTGCCAAGACGTAATAGTTTGAAAAGCTAATATAGCACAATTTTTACGAATGATGAGATGGCTAGACTCTGCCTCTGGAGTGCAGGGAAACTAGGTTATAACGACATACCTAGGACATACCTAAGTCAAATTGTAGCAATTCCTATTTTCAAACGATCCTTGTTGAAAAGTGCAATAAAAAACAGCAAAGATTTTACCAGAACCGAGCTCGTATTTATCATTTCCTGCTCGACAATAACAACTAATTATTTCGCCCTGTGCCAACCTTATTAAAAACATTGCCGCTCTAATATAACAGAAGTTTCGAAATCGTGTTTTGACGATCGGTTTTTCATTTTCAATTTTACCTAGAGCACAAAACTAGCCATCGGGCTATTCCGGGAACATTCCAATTTGCGTTGGCCCGAAAAATTTGATAACAAAGAGAGCTGAAGCTACTCCAAGATCGCCTAGAATTTCTTTAGCACAATAGCAAAATACCAGACGCATAAGGACTTAGTTGACGAGCCATTCCTTGCGGTAATCAGTATGCAAATTAGATCTCAAGTGATAAGAATGACAATTTGATCTCAAGTATGCCGGATGAGTCCATTAATCCGGCCAAAATGTGGATTTTTCCTCGGTTTTGCCCCTTGAAAAACAAAACTTGACGAAACCAAAGCAACTAAAGTGTTCTTTGCCATTATTCTACGCTCAAAAGCGAAATGCTTCCCGCTTGGAAGCGAGACAATGCATTGCGTGCCGATTCAAATGTTATATCGATACTCCGGTTGAATATTGTCGATCACGAATTTTAATTTGGGATGGCCCGCGTTCGAATTGCCGCCAATCGGCAAGACGCGAGTGAGTTTTCGTGTGAAAACGTTGACAGAGTACAAAAAACGGCGCTCCAAGGCGTTCCTTAAGCTTAGAAATGCCTGAGCTTAACCATATTTATTATGTAAAAATGCCAAACCATCCTAGCGTTGCGTTCTTTGTTTCAAATATTGCTGTAATTTCATACCAGGAAATTTTATGCCATTCGAAAGCGCAACACCTTGAATAGCAAAACACTGTCAATATTTGCACAAATTGCAACAATTTCGAAGTTCTCAAATCTTATATACACTACTTTCGAATGCTAATACGTATTATTGACATATATTAAGGCATAAATTTGCCGTTACTGTTATAAATAAGTCGTTTGCTAATATCAAAATAAACTCAGCCTTTGTTCTAAAGTGTTCTTTGATGTGATTAAAACACGCGAACTAACATGCTGAGCAAATACACAAATTCAGTCGTCGCGAAATGGGATTCCGAAATCAATTGGAAAACGATCGACTCCTTTGCCATTCTAAAAGTGGCCCAACTTAGAATCGCGAAGGAAAAAAGGGTATTTTGAGACATCCGGAGTATGAAGACCTCTCAATATGACGTCCGCTGTCATCTTCAACACAGCGCATGCAATAATACAATAATATACTGAAAACTCACTGCTCTGTATGTCTTTTTCTGGCCGACATGTACGCCTCTTTCGGATATATGAACGTTTCGTATGATGCTGTAGAAGTCATCCACCACGGCAACTTGACGGTATTCCGTAAAGCCAAAAGCCTGGTGGTTCCCGTTGTTGTCAAATCCGGCCAGCGTGTTCTATCCGAAATAGAAATACTGTCCATATTAGTAAGACAAAACGTCTTCAATTTCCTTATTTCTTTTCCATAGACCCAATACAAAATAAACTTTCGATTTAACTGCGAGGTGTTCCTCAAATTCTACAGCTTAAGGAAGTGTTGGGGTATTATTTTCATTAACTTTTTAAACTGACTCATGACTTATTGGCACGATACGGCTCGCAATATAAGATAGCGGTCTAGCATATGGGACTACTACAGTAGATAGTATAAGTTTGTAGCCCCGTCCTTTGCCACGAATTAGCGTGACTTTTGAATGGGGAATCGCAACATTTTGATTGTATCGTGCTAGTTGTGTTGACTTAAGCTAGTTTAATTGTTTTGGGTGGAACAGTCTAATGCGTCTTACATTGCTTGAACACGCCGCAGACAGTTGCGAATAGTTGATGGACAGTTTGGTTTAGTAACACAAAACGACCGGCAAAGAGATCAGATTCTCTTAAATTCGGTCATAACCCCTGTTGACTTTGGACTAGTTATGAGACATTCAGTATTGGATCAAATTCCTCTAGGAACAAAATCATCAAGTCCCGTGCCCATGGTCGACGTCCATATATATAATAATATTATTTCATCGTTTATCTGCGAACCGCGATGTGCATGCAGGGAGAGATAGGAAGCCAAATTCGTTCGTTCGAGAGATGCTTCCAGCATTCGCTAACATGGGTTCAAGTTGATGTGGAGGATAGAAAAATCGCGATCACAAACTACCTCCAGTCCGGAGTTAATATAACTTTTTTAAGTGTATATGAATTATAATATAGTCATAACAATATGTAATTCGTGAGCACGGTGTCGCTAGACTTACCTGTCCCTTAGCGGTACTCACGTTCACTGGAACGCATAATACGCCAATGTTTGGGTCCAGTTGATGTCGCAAAATTCGAAACGCCTTCGATTTAACCCAAAATCGAAACTTCGCGTCAGTCTCGACTTCCTCGCCCATCAGATATCGACAAATCTTTGTGTACTTCGCTCTTGTTATCGTCTTTGTTCGGCTGTGCTCACCGTAATTTGAATCCACCCATGTTTGAAAATTATGCCTGAACGACTGGTGTTCGCTGCTATGCTGCGATGTTTGAACCTCCATCGTTTGACACGCTGGCGAACTCTCTCTCGCGACTTCGACAAGCGTGACTGATTATACCGTATGAATATCTCAACACTGGATATCTCATGAATGTTAAGAGAGAATCGCACGGTCGACAGAGCATCGTAGCGCTTGCGCGCGGCTCCTGTAATTGGCTCGTGATTTAAAGGGACATGGCAGACGGGCCAATCCGGTGTCGTGTTACATGCGACATGTCCCAAATAGGAACTGAGCGGTGAATAGGGTAATATTTATGTTGACAATACAATGTTGTGCTTTTAGTACAAGTATCATATTCCTGCTCTGAAACGCAGTTAAAACGCTGGCCCATTGCAAGAATTCCTTCAAGCTAAGAGCACGATATCTCTGTGATCAGTGGTGGCAAAATTGTAAAGGCAGAATTGGGGGAATATGATTTGACTTCGGGCAACTTTTGGCCAGCCATTTTCTGCAAATGAAGAAACGGAACCCTTTGCTTTCACGGATATGTTATTTTTTTTAAATTTCTGTGTTGCCCTTTGGAAATGGAGGCCAACTGAAACGTTCACGATGCTTATACGAATAATTTCTGGTCTCATGAAAACCTAATTTATGCGCGCGTGCGCACAAGATATTAATATTGACTATAGCAATGAAATATTCTAATTCCGTCACGAAAGTGGAATGAAAATGGCTCGCACTCAGCGAGAAAATAACTTATGCTTGTGAGATAGTATGTTTATGATAGTATGTTTGGGTTTCATTCAAAATATTGGCTATCAATACTTGTTATGGAAACACTTTCATGTCATCTCTTCCGCCCCGTGTTATTTTTGCAGTATAGAGTTTAAAGACTCCATTTGCATGTAAACATATTGACTTAGGAAAAACTGGTCACTCACTGGCTATACCAGCTCTAAAATCTAAGAGATTCAATAAAAAATCAAGTTTGTGCCAGTTAATCACAGTCTCAAAATGTCACGTCAAAAAGGTTTTAGCTAAATATAGATATATTTATGTCATTGCGTCTTCTGTATAAAATTAATTGCTATTTACGGAATCTTATAAAGATGCACTGGACCCGTGGCTGGACCGTGCAGTGATGCACCAAGACACAAGTCTCTTCAATTTCGAAGTCTCTATAATGTCTCGTATCTTGGACATTGAATTATAAAAATCCTGCTCTATGTCTCCATTCCACGAGGAGCAATATAACTTCCTTTTCACAAAAAAACTTGCGGTTTTATTAGAAACAGTGTCAAATGTTGCAATATACCTATTTCCTTAACATGTCAAAGCTGAATGAATTACCAACACTGTGACAACAGTCGCCTGAATTAAAAAGGTTTGGTTTGAACAGCGCATGTCGTACTTCTCAAATATTTGACGACCCATTCTAAGATGTTTTTTGACTTTTTTCTCACGTTAAGATATTAGCAAAACTCGAAAGGTCAAATGATGTTATTTGCAATACAAAAACAGCTCCAATATTGCTGCAAAGCAAATGCCATCAGGCATAAATGGAAATAACACTGGCTAATTATTTTGTTGAACATTTTAGTCGTGTCCCAAACAGGAACTGAAGGTATTTGCTGAAAGGGTATACCTTATTTGAACACGATTTTCATTTTACTTGCAGTATTTCCGCTTGTTATTATTTTAACAATCGCACGGAGGAAGACGAATGCAAACATGCATGTTTACTTGGAAAAAATTAGATTTCACCATGCTGCAAAGACGGATAACCTCAAAAGGAGTAAAACAAATAAATCCCGAGTCAGGCCTGTCTGATGATTTTGCAAGGTCAGTTCACACTCCCAATACAATTTCATTCCTTTTAAGAGCCTGGACCATACTAGACGCGATGTTTTCTTGCATATATCTATCAGAATATAACTCTGGGTGCGAATTGGGCATGTCACTGATCTACAAACAATGACTGGTTGGTCTAGAGACTAAATCTCTATCGGTAGAAAGGGCCAATGTACCCAATCAGCAACAAGGAATCATGTGTTGGGATATCCCAAAATTTTATTTCAAAACTGAAACACACAACCATGTGCAGAACATGTTCAGTGCGTGTAATGAAATGGCAACCCTTAAAATCATTGGATTTGTTAAAAACCTTCCGACAGCTTTATCAACGAATGAAGACACTAAATCAGTGTTGAGAAAAATTTTATCCATCCAGACAATTTCACGTCCTGGAGAGAGTCAGGAATAAGAGATCCTCTTCATTGAAAAAGATATGATTTCTCCACCAAGATTATTCTAGTTTCCAAGCGGCGATCATCTGAGGAAAGTAAAAATACCCAGGAATTAACGGCGTTCAACTCAGCTCTCCAAATTTTTCAGTCCTTGTTTGCTCTTTAGAGAAGTTCTAATGCCATATTTATACGAAGCTTGCGATCTAATCTATGCATACCTGGCAGAAATGACATTCGTTTTCAGCCACAAAATTACGTCAGAAAAGCAGCTGACCAGTAGAGCCCAAGCCGTTGACAAGTACTCTTGGACTAGCTCCAGAATATGTGGTGTTGTCGTAACCACATAGTTTGCCAGTCGGCGGAAACCATCGGCAATCACGTCGAAGAAATCCGGGGACAAGTTATAAAACCACGCTGCGGCCTTCCATGCGAGATCTTTTGCGCGGGAAAAAACGCGTGGGACCCAAGTCGCGAGTGTATTCCACGCGCTTCGCGAGTACTGTTGAATGATAGGAGAATAAACGTTCCACAGATTGATAAGTATTTTTGAAACCAGATTGAAGTAGTAGGTGAGAAAGCGTTCGAACTATAGAAATGAAATAAATAAACACAGAGGATTTAAAAATCTGTTCACAAAATCCAATTTTTTTACTTCTGATGGTGTGAATTGGAGAGATAAACATACCTTTTCCAGTATGGGTGGAACAGTTTTGTGTATATATTGTCTCACAGGAGCAGTAACATCAGCAATATAGTACAATCCTTCACCAAGTTTAGTCATGGCGTAGTCTGAGGCTGGTTCGACTACACCTTGTACCTTCTTATAGTAGTACGGATAGTTCTTCTCAGCCCATCTGTAAACAAGATAAATATATTGGTAATCATCAATAACATTATCTTCACCGCCAATTGATATGATATCATCATCACTGCCATCGATAACATCACTACGACAACCGTCGCCATCTGATCTTTCCCAAGTCACGTTCAAATTGGGTTCAGGCTCTCATAGATCTATCCAGTGGTTATTAGAACTGTGCTCATAAGTTATAACATCACCGAGAAAAGTGAGCCAAGTGACATTGATACTCACATCTCCATCCGTCGTGCACCATAATAAGCATGATGGTAACCGTTCACTAACACCTTTTCAACACCATATTGTTTTAAAACATTAGAAGTTTTGCTTTCTGTAGAAACGAAAGAAGAATGAAGGCATTTCTTTTATCCAACCGCAACGGGTTATTTACAGGGCTACAAGGCTACATATATTGTCTACTCTGAACTAATGGCAAGCAGAACAATCCTGGTTTCTATATTATGATTTTGTGGTTAGGTAAGACATATCATACTTTGGTATCCATTGCTTTTATACATATCCACAGAAACGACGATGAATAATATGAACAGCAAAAGCTTAAAGATTCGAGTCAATCTTGATGGCCCAGAAATAAGAATGTTCCTTGGAGTGGTAGAAATGACATCAAGAAGTTTCTGGAAAAAATAATGAAATCTTTTTAGCAACCAAATTCGAAGCAGCTCAATTCATAAATTGAGCTATTTAAAATAAGAAAGATCACTATAAGAACAGGTCAAGTTCGAGAAGTCTTACTTTGCACGAGGATTCGCAATCCAACAAAACAGCCTGAAATTGGTATTTTAAAGATATTTTTACAATCAGTTATTTCGTCGGAGTATACACTTGCAAAATCACACCGTAAACTACTTAAGTTACCTTCGGTTTTTCACGTTCCTTAAGCTCGTTGTTAACATTCTGAAATTCACGGAGTGTCTCCACAAGATACTTTCGAGGAATCTAGTGGAGAGTTTGTTGAAAGAGAAAATTAAAAGGGTCAGGACTTGGATTCGGACGTTAAGGCTTGCAAAATGTACTGGTCCTGAGCCGACTTACAGAACGACAGATGGAATCCCATTGTTCGACAATAGCTTTTAACAGCAAACTAAAATTAAAACAACATTACAAGATAACTTCGGTTCCAGGTTCTTCACTCTTACATAAGACTCTGGAGGTTGGATTTGGTAAGGTGATTTATTTGCAAACATCAGCATGACATTCAAATTCGATGCTTTTTGAAAGCACATAACGTCATTTCAAAAATCTCGATGCAAACACGCGATCAATACCTGGATTCCTTTATGCGCGCGAGGTAGTTATTCCTCCATTTGTGATGACACGTTGCGTCTTTTTCCAAACATTTAATCAGGCAACTCAGCGCCTCTTGCAAGTATTCCTGTCCAAGCTCCGCATTGAGCGAATCAAAAATCTGAGTGAACACGCTGTTTAAAGAGTTCGGTTGACCAGCAGAAAACATGATGGCCTTCACGGGGAAATACAAGTATGAAAAATACGTTAACACAGGAGTAAAGCTTCACGCTGTAAAGAAATAACAAATCTTGTGAAAATAACAACGAGGTTACCTTTATTTCAGGATAGAGTAATTGGAGTTGTCTATAAAAGAAATAGAATTAATGAGAGCTTCTCCATTGAGAATAGCTGGAGGTAATGTTGATCTGGACGTCGAAGTGCAGTGACACAGAGGTGGGAAAATGAAAATTTTTGTTTGCCTTACTTTCGATATGGGAATTGAAGAAAATTTGATCCATATGTCAATTCCATAATATGCTGAAACCTTTTCCCGGATATTGGTGTCTCTGTCAATCTGTCTGGCAACTCCAAACTGGAATGAACAATAAGAAAAATGAGAAAATCTTTATTTTTTTGAGATGGAAACACCGACAACAGAATGGCGGGAATTTTCGCGGGCAAATTTTGCGAATTTATTATTTACTTTTATAGCCATAACATATTTATTCCCATTGAAGTGCAGAAGAAAACCAATCGAAATGTTTTGGATTAGCAGAATATTTGAAGCCAACTGGAGCAACTTGCCGTAATGGAGCAACTTCTCGTTTTGAAAGTGGTAATTTAGCGAATTTAGCGTCGATACATTCGATAAATACTGCATGCAAATTCCTACCTTTGCTTGAATATTTCTCACCTCAAAGTGGTTTCCAAATAGTCAATGGCATACTTGCTCATCTGCTTCGACTCGATGACAGGCAAAAAAAACACCGACCACACTGGAAAGTAAACATATTTTTTGTCATTTAATCATGCATATGTATTCATCCAGGCAGCGTTTATCTTTTAAACGCTGAATCGCTTAGGTTCATATGAAGAAATATGGGTTGATTTACAGCGGACAAAAAGCTCCCGAGAATGTTATTTGGTATGCAGACGTACTGGTCATTCTTTCTGCGAGATTTTTGCTATCAGATGTCTGCCCACATGCCCAGAGCAACGATAAGGCTTCACGAGGGTTGTCCTTTTTCGACAGAACACGTTGTTGACACTAAACAAAAAACATGGAAAGTTCCTTCTAGCAGCAAGATTTACAGCCTGGCTGGATGAATAATGAAAACAGACGAATGGCTATACTGACCTCTTTCTTCTTTTTTTTAAGAGTGAAATAGGGATAGCATTTTAAAATGGACTGAAACATTATGCGGATGCCATAGCTTGCATGACCTGTGGAAAAATTATGAAAACATTGAGCGATATTGTTGCCTTTTCTTCCTTTCCACTTTGCCCATTCATAATAATTTGTCTTCTGCAAACCTTTATTTATTTCAATAAGCAACTCATCAAGACAATATGAAAAAAAACGTTTAACATCAGCTCCATCGCATCGTTTTATCTCAGCAATGATAAGATCTTGAACATTGTTGTCAAGAAAACCCAATGGAAAATCTATTGAAATAACAATAGAAATTTAGGAAAAATTTTGACTAATTTCTACCACTTTGCTAGTTCAATTTCCAAATTGTGAAACCTAATTTCCCATTGCAATTGCATAACATTGCTAACATACAATGCTGTTGAATAATCTTAGAGTAGTGTATTTTTTTATATTTAACAACATTTAGGGGTTTTACCTGGTGATTGGCTTCCTAGAACAGGGTCTTTTTCAACAGGCATCTTTGTGAAATTTTCTTGGAAGAAACCAGCTAATTCTTTGAGCAAACCCTGCATCAACAAAGGAGTAAAATATAAAATGGCACCATGAAAAATGTCAAAATGCTGGTGCATTGTTCTGTATACCAAGTGACCATTTGACCTTTCCATTCTTCAGATTAACTCACCAGTGTTACTGGCATGGTTGAAGAGGTGATGCAGTTGGATTATGGATTCCATAAAACACAAAACTACAGTGCTTCAACTTACCAGTCCATCAAGTCTGCATTCTGAGATGAAATTTTGAACCCTCACTAAATCACACTAAAAGTTAATAATATAAACTTTATCAAACATCATACAACTTAATTACTTGCTTGTATATTAAATGACTAAATGATTTGTCCCCATGAATACCTTCTTCAAAGTTTCTACGAAGATTTCATTGAAGGTTGGATGTGCTTCTCTGTGGTGTTTGTGCTTCTTATCCATTTTCCTGCTTCGGTCCTGGCTTCGAACATTGCTACGACTATCCGATTCATCACTGGACTCTTGTTTCGGGATAGCAAATGGCACGGTTTCTGGTTCTTTCTTGCTGAAAGCATCAAACTGGGTCTTCGACTCGGGAATCGGAGCTAGAAGGTTATGCAGAACAAATAAAAGGCTGATAGCCGCCAATTTTCACAGCCTGCTTCATTGCTGAGTTCCATTAAAGTTGATCATGTAATTCATGTTTATGAATGGAAGTTCCTAATGCTCAAATCAATACATTGAGCTTCTTCTAAACTTTAAAGAACCAATTTGAAAAGCCTTGTATGGAAGAGCTAAGCAAGAGATCGTCATTGCTGTATGGGAAAATTCTTCACTGTTATAGCATAAACACGTTGCATTTGGTTTGTACTTTGTACCACAATTCAAGGGATGCGCAGAAAATGAAATGCGTGGAAAGAAAGCAGTGTTTACATAAATAAAAATTTCCCAAAATTATAATTTTTTTTAAGCAATCAACTAATTCCGCCTCGATTTTCCCTGGCGTCGAAAGATGATACAATAGTGCATTGTGTAGCGAAGTACCATTTTAATGATAATAGCTCAGAGTTTAAAAGCACATAAACATTGTAGCATAGCGTACAATCGAGAGCAAATTACGCACTAACCTTTTATGTCCAACTTTGGAAGGTCCGCTTCGTTTACTTTGGATTTATTTTTCTTGTTTCCCGCATTCTTTCGTGCTTTACCGTCTTTTCCAACAACTTCCCACTTGCCTGGATTGCTCGCCATTTTGCCTCAATACGAAAAGAAATTCAAAATCTCGCTCGGAAACTATCGGCAAGCGTCGGCGAAGGACGATCACTGACCTCATAACTACTCTGGTAACTCCAGTAACTTCTGGGCGTAATAAATGCTAATTACCTACTTGCAGGCACCACTCTTTGGACCATGACGTAATGGTCGACACCGAGAGAATACATTAAAAGGGTCTGCTTAAGCTTAATTGACAACGGCATGAAAGGACAACTCGAGGGCTGATACTCGACAGAATCGATTGCCTGATACAAAGATATCGCGAACATTCTATTATCCACTCAATTTAAAAAATTTTGTCGAGGACACTTTATCACGATAGCAACCGAAAATATACAAGGAAAATGTCGATGAAGTAATAGGTATTTGGCTGGTTTGACGGTGATACGAATGACATCATGTCTATTGTCACATTAAAATACATAAGGTTACGAGCTTACATGAGTGATACCAGCTTTGAAACTGTTGCTGTAATCAAGTTGATATTGAGGTGTTTGGCTGGGGTGCTTTTTGTTGTATGTATGAAGCAACAGGCAGCAAGCTATAGGGTCTTTTCTCGTAGATCGAGGAGAGACCGAGGGTACAAGGTCAGGTATAAGGGCGTATTTCCACTCGATGCCGCGTTTTTTGTACGTACGTACACGCGCGTTAAAGGTTAGAATAATTTAAATAATACATGCATATAACCACAGTTAATATAACCAACACTGAAATGAATAGACGTACAAGGTTGGGTTGTATTCATTGATGATTTGAGTGTTTTTTTTTGCTCGCGTAAAATTACTTGTATAACAACATAGAATGTTTTAAAACTTTACGTGCGTACACGCACGGGGAATACAAGGGGGAAATCCACCTCCTATAATAGCGCCTTAAAAAAGCTTGGGATGATAGATAATCCACTCGAAATGTCGGGAAAAGGCCATTACGAAAAGCCTCGAAATCATCTTCGTATTTTTCAGATATTTCGTTACTACAACAAGTCGGTGGTCACGAGGAATTGCGTGAGAAACGGTCGTTCCGTGTATCAGCTCAAAACTTGGTGACAAAAACATGAAAAACAACAACAGATACATTTTCCCTCAGGGAAGCCGTATAGTAACTTGTGGTTGACAGTACGTGACTGAGTATATCAGTATAGGACGCAGTGAGAACAATAAAAAACCATAAATATAAATATAGTGAAAAGCTGTCTGCGGTTAACGTTTCCCCAACGCTCAATCTTGTTAGAACCTTAAAATTAAGAACTGACTTATTCCGATTGAGAGGCATAGGAATTACTTTACCGAGTTTTTTTCCTCCGGTAGGTAAGGTCAATGACAGTCAATCTTATGTTCCTATTCGCAGACTTTCAAAGCAAGCGTGCATGCAGAATATACGTGTGTGGTGCATGTATTGTCACGTGAGAGCGCAAGGGTATATAGCCATAAGTGTTACCACTTAAGATCTTTTGTTGACGTTAAGCCTTCGAGCTAAGGATTTTGTCATAACTCTACAAAAATCCGAGTAATAAGCTCCAGAAATTCATGGCATGTTGTTATTGCCTTAAAAAACGAGCAGAATTTTCGCTCCTGCTTCGTCAGCAAAACTCTTCAAAGAAAATAAAACAAAAAGTCGTTTTTTAGATGATATTTTCATCCGGGGTGCGGCTACGTTTAGCGAAAACTCGAGCGATATTTATAAATATAGCTGGAAATGAAAGAGATTTCAGTTTGGAAGGACAAAGAGATTTTCATCAGTTCTGTGTCTTTAATAGCTCGGCACCGCAAATTCCAAATACCTGACGTGTGTAATTGGCGATAGATAGAATACTTGTGCGATTGGAGAAATACTTTTGCAGCAACGCGGACGTATACAAGGTCAATGCATTATTCCTGATTATTCTGTAGAAGTATCGTTGATTTTTGAGCTTTTTTTTGTACTTGAAATGCACACGTGCATGCAGTCGAAGAAAACGTCTTTGATAAAAAAAATATAGGTGTAAAGAGTCGTGTCCCTATAACAGCATTATAGCTATATACTAGTCGATGATATCATTCTGATATAATTCTAGTTTGTGGGTGGAAGAGATAAAATGCGGGATAAATTTAACATAACTTGTTGACTATTCAAGTTTCTGGTCTTAAACATTTCGTTGCAACCAGGTATGAAGCTGTGAAAATAAGCGAGATCGCCGAGATGTGCGTGCACATTTTGATCGAAGACCCTTTCAATTTTCGTCGTATTCCAGTCGATCATATATAGAAGACCCTACAAGTAACAAGGTTAACAATATGCGTTGCTATGGCGCTCGTAACATTATCGAGTGTCTTCCTGGGTGCTTCAAGCATTATCATGCAGAACTAAGGTCTTTGTTTTGCACTCTAAACTAACGTTTTGCCAGCGGTTTGGGCTAAATTGAGGCCGCAGACATTCCTATCGGCATTGACGTGTATTGTATGGTTGTTCCTTGTGTAAATGAGCTTCGATCGACATCCTTTTGCGTTGGCCTGACCTCGGTGACATGACGAATTATTTAAATATACACAAAAGAGTTTAACTTTAACCATCAATAGTTGTCTCATTCTTCAGGTCACTTACGGTTACTTCGCTTCGGACTCTAAAAATCTTTTCAGAGTTGTTGACAAACAGCAGCTATCTGAAAATTCTTTGTAACCTTCGGGCTACGACATTGAATACAGGAAACTTGGATCAACTTAATATATTGAATCGGTACGGAGCCAGGATCCGGAGGATTCTATATTGATATTAATCTCGAGAGCACTTTTAGCTTCGAGGAAAGCGGTCAACCTTCAAGTATAATCGTCAGAAGAAACTACACCAAACTCGAACGCATCTCAAGTTCGAGTTTCGTATATTATTTATTGAAGAAACGCCAATTTGGCTTTAGATTGATCAATTTACTTCAATCGTTACATGATTCGCTTGGGTATTTGAAAGAAAAGTTGCCACATCATAGTTTTTTTTAAGCCTTACTGCACAAGAAGTTCGCAAGGCATCTGTAATTAAGCTCAACGGACGTAGGCGAAATCGTTGTTGACGTGAACTTTGGCCAATTTTTTTAAAGAAGGGTGTTTCAATACGGTATTAAACATTCAATCAAATTTTATTGTCCGGTTGGAGGAATAAATAACGTCACGTTCTGGCTTATTGAGGAATCAGACGCACGACGATTAAACAGCGCTGTGGACAAAACAATCTATCAACATACAGCAAGTACTTGATAACACTTTGTAGGTAAGTGAGTGATATATTATCGCTTTGAAATTTCAAAGTTAAAGCTAATTTATAAACACAACGAATTTGGCATAACAGTTTTGTTTCAGTCAAAGTTCTCACGATGTGACAGCATTGGTTGCACGCATGAGATACAATGTTCAAGATATGAAGCCATTATTTTGGTCACAAGAGATTGCGGATAGACAAAACAAAATCAATAAGCCTTCCAATCACTGATTAAGTTCAATAAAAAAGATATGTTTAAATACAGCATTTCTAAACATTCGAATATATCCAATCTCTCTTATATACAACATATTCTTTATTCAATAAACTTTGATGTTACTTAATATTCATTCATTGCCGGAAGAGTAGCTATATTGTACTTGTTGAGAAATATTTTGTACGCTACAATGTTGAATCGAAAACACCGTTATCGTTCAAGTACTAAGTTACTTCATAATCATGCTTATCGTTGTTATTGTGTTCTTAAATATAGAAATTCGAGGATTTCCCAGAATCAAGGAACACAGTTCAGAGAATAAGTCAATATACCGAGCAGTAACAGGAACTAATTATGAAATACCTTTGTATCATCGCAATCATCCTACAATTGTTGTCACCAATCATTGGTTCATCGACACCAATTCAGGCTGGATCATCATCGATCACCGCACAGCCGGCGTCTATCGATCTTATGTCATCACTACCAATGATTGCCCCGTCTTCATCGATACCTGATCAGTCATCATCAGTCATTGATCAATCAACACCGATTATTGCTAAATCCTCATCAGTGATCGCTCAACCACCATCTATGAATGTTGTGTCATCAATACCAATGATTGTTCCGTCCTCGTCGATAACTGCTCAATCGTCATCAGGTATTGATTTATCGACACCAGTCATTGCCGAATCATCATCGATCATCGCTCAGCCGGGACCTGTCGATGTTAAGTCATCAGCACCAATGATTGCTCCATCTTCATCGATACCGGCGCAGTCATCATCAGTCATTGATTCATCAACACTGATCATTGCCGAATCATCATCAATCATCGCTCAGCCGGGAACTGTCGATGTTAAGTCATCAGCACCAATGATTGCTCCATCTTCATCGATACCGGCGCAGTCATCGTCAGTCATGGATTCATCAACACCGATCATTACCGAATCATCGTCAATCATCGCAAAACCGGGACCTGTCGATGTTAAGTCATCAGCACCAATGATTGCTCCATCTTCATCAATACCGGTGCAGTCATCATCAGTCATTGATTCATCAACACCGATCATTACCGAATCATCATCAATCATCGCACAACCGGGACCTGTCGATGTTAAGTCATCAGCACCAATGATTGCTCCATCTTCATCGATACCGGCGCAGTCATCATCAGTCATTGATTCATCAACACTGATCATTACCGAATCATCATCAATCATCGCTCAGCCGGGACCTGTCGATGTTAAGTCATCAGCACCAATGATTGCTCCGTCTTCATCGATACCGGCGCAGTCATTATCAGTCATTGATTCATCAACACCAGTCATCGCCGAATCATCATCGATCATCGCTCAGCCGGGACCTGTCGATGTTAAGTCATCAGCACCAATGATTGCTCCATCTTCATCGATACCGGCGCAGTCATCGTCAGTCATTGATTCATCAACACTGATCATTACCAAATCATCGTCAATCATCGCAAAACCGGGACCTGTCGACGTTAAGTCATCAGCACCAATGATTGCTCCATCTTCATCGATACCGGCGCAGTCATCGTCAGTCATTGATCATCAACAAGCTGACATACATACACATTCATCATCATCGCTCAGCCGGACCTGTCGATGTTAAGTCATCAGCACAAATGATTCCTCCATCTTCATCGATACCGGCGCAGTCATCGTCAGTCATTGATTCATCAACACTGATCATTACCGAATCATCATCGATCATCGCTCAGCCGGGACCTGTCGATGTTAAGTCATCAGCACCAATGATTGCTCCATCTTCATCGATACCGGCGCAGTCATCATCAGCCATTGATTCATCAACACATCATCGCAAATCATCATCATCATCGCTCAGCCGGGACCTGTCGATGTTAAGTCATCAGCACCAATGATTGCTCCGTCTTCATCGATACCGGCGCAGTCATCATCAGTCATTGATTCATCAACACCGATCATTACCAAATCATCATCAATCATCGCTCAGCCGGGACCTGTCGATGTCAAGTCATCAGCACCAATGATTGCTCCATCTTCATCGATACCGGCGCAGTCATCATCAGTCATTGATTCATCAACACTGATCATTACCAAATCATCATCAATCATCGCTCAGCCGGGACCTGTCGATGTTAAGTCTTCAGCACCAATGATTGCTCCATCTTCATCGATACCGGCCCAGTCATCATCAGTCATTGATTCATCAACACCAGTCATCGCCGAATCATCATCGATCATCGCTCAGCCGGGACCTGTCGATGTTAAGTCATCAGCACCAATGATTGCTCCGTCTTCATCGATACCGGCGCAGTCATCATCAGTCATTGATTCATCAACACCGATCATTACCAATCATCATCATCATCGCTCAGCCGGGACCTGTCGATGTTAAGTCATCAGCACCAATGATTGCTCCATCTTCATCGATACCGGCGCAGTCATCATCAGTCATTGATTCATCAACACATCATCGCCGAAATCATCATCGATCATCGCTCAGCCGGGACCTGTCGATGTTAAGTCATCAGCACCAATGATTGCTCCATCTTCATCGATACCGGCGCAGTCATCGTCAGTCATTGATTCATCAACACTGATCATTACCGAATCATCATCGATCATCGCTCAGCCGGGACCTGTCGACGTTAAGTCATCAGCACCAATGATTGCTCCATCTTCATCGATACCGGCGCAGTCATCGTCAGTCATTGATTCATCAACACTGATCATTACCGAATCATCATCATCATCGCTCAGCCGGGACCTGTCGATGTTAAGTCATCAGCACAATGATTCTCCATCTTCATCGATACCGGCGCAGTCATCGTCAGTCATTGATTCATCAACACTGATCATTACCGAATCATCATCGATCATCGCTCAGCCGGGACCTGTCGATGTTAAGTCATCAGCACAATGATTGCTCCATCTTCATCGATACGGCGCAGTCATCATCAGTCCATTGATTCATCAACACCATCATCCGAATCATCATCGATCATCGCTCAGCCGGGACCTGTCGATGTTAAGTCATCAGCACCAATGATTGCTCCATCTTCATCGATACCGGCGCAGTCATCATCAGTCATTGATCATCAACACCGAATTACCAATCATCATCAATCATCGCTCAGCCGGGACCTGTCGATGTTAAGTCATCAGCACCAATGATTGCTCCGTCTTCATCGATACCGGCGCAGTCATCATCAGTCATTGATTCATCAACACTGATCATTACCAAATCATCATCAATCATCGCTCAGCCGGGACCTGTCGATGTTAAGTCTTCAGCACCAATGATTGCTCCATCTTCATCGATACCGGCCCAGTCATCATCAGTCATTGATTCATCAACACCATCATCCGAATCATCATCGATCATCGCTCAGCCGGGACCTGTCGATGTTAAGTCATCAGCACCAATGATTGCTCCGTCTTCATCGATACCGGCGCAGTCATCATCACAGTCATTGATTCATCAACACCGTCATTACCAATCATCATCAATCATCGCTCAGCCGGGACCTGTCGATGTCAAGGTCATCAGCACCAATGATTGTCCATCTTCATCGATACCGGCGCAGTCATCATCAGTCATTGATTCATCAACACTGATCATTACCAATCACATCAATCATCGCTCAGCCGGGACCTGTCGATGTTAAGTCTCAGCACCAATGATGCTCCCATCTTCATCGATACCGGCCCAGTCATCATCAGTCATTGATTCATCAACGCCGAACATTGCCGAATCATCATCAATCATCGCTCAGCCGGGACCTGTCGATGTTAAGTCATCAGCACAAATGATTCCTCCATCTTCATCAATACTTGCTCAATCATCATCAGTCATTGATTCATCAACACCGATTATTGCTGAATCATCATCAATCATCGCTCAGTCGCCATCTATCAATGTTAAGTCATCAGTAACAGTGATTGCCCCATCTTCATCGATACCTGCTCAGTTATCATCAGTCATTGATTCATCAACAGCGATGACTGCTCAACTACCATCAATGACTGCCAGGTTACTATCATTGACTGCTCAGTCACAATCAATGATTGTTCAGTCACCATCAATGACTGTTCAGTCACCATCAATGATTGTTCAGTCACCATCAATGATTGTTCAGTCACCATCAATGACTGTTCAGTCACCATCAATGACTGTCCAGTCACCATCAATGACTGTTCAGTCACCATCAATGACTGTTCAGTCACCATCAATGACTGTTCAGTCACCATCAATAACTGTTCAGTCACCATCACCCACTACTCAATCAGCTTTAATGACTGCTCAGTCTCCATCATCATCGATAAAACCGAACAAGACAGTGACGTTGTCTTCATCATCTCAACTGGTAATAATAACCACTAAAAAGCCAACAAAAAACACTCTCAATACCAGTGTTGAGATATCAATTGACGGAGTTTTGGACGAAGATTTGAGGAATAAGTCAAGCAGAAAGTACAGGACGTTCACCACAAGCCTTAAGAATACGGTAATTGTAAAAGCACTTTTAGAATTCGTAGAAAAGCATTATTTGTCACTTTCTTGCAGTTTAAATGCAGCCCTATTTAGTAATTTCGCAGCTTGACTGTTTTGTCTCTGAGACGTTCAATACAAAGTCAAAAAGTAAACAATTCCATTTCAACTATTGTCTGGTAACGTTGGATCAACGAGTTAAGATCCTAAGGAACTTAGGGATCTTCGACCGTCCAGCAAGCAGGTTGTTAAAGACGTTAGGGGATTTCTAATGTTAAATTTGTGTTTAATGAACCAATTAATTTAGAATGATTAATACTCTTCCTTACAATATTTTCTTCATTTGCTGACAGATTAAAGATGTGTACAGGAAAAGAAACATTAGTGTAGATGTGTTGGTGCTAGGATTACGGTAAGGTTACGGTTGTTTACACTCTTCATCTGGCCAAACAAACATGTGTATTACTTTTTCACGCCTTTTTCCAGTTGAACTAAACTAGCGACCGAAGTATCTCTAGAACGAGTGCGACAATAATCGACACTTTTTTCTCGACAGATCTGGAAGTATCATCGCAGAATTAAGACTTATTTTTCAAGACCGCACCGTCAGTTCACCATTGAAAGTTCTCAAAGAAGCTATCGAGAAGAACGAGCTTGGCAATTTCACCATCGATCCAAATTCACTTAAACTGACATTTCACGGTACGACAACTTCTCTTCTTAATATATATGCGTCTCTTTAAATCAACAAAGACGTCTCCCTGTACATGCATGCATTTAGGTCAATCCCAGTGACTTAAACCCATCTTCTCAAATCTCAACTAGTTGCCACTCATAATATCACTCCAACTGAGCTAAGGCGAGTCACACGTATTGGTGTTTCACTTCACGAGTTAGGCTAAAAATGCAGTCGGTTACTATATTTTCCAGAGTGCAATCCAACATGCCACGAGAACGCCGAGTGTGAGAGACAGGGAACCTCGTCCACAATATTTTTGTGTCAATGTAAATCTGGCTATATTGGTAATGGCGTCCAGTCTTGCACAGGTGAGATACCAGATTCTTCTATTTCCATATTTGCATGAGAGCTTAATTTCACGGTGGTCTAATCGCATGACCACTCTTGTTATACATTCTTCAGTATAATCTAACACGTTGAAAATTTCTTATAGAAATCAAAGAAGATGAGGACGATGATGGTACGTCACTTTCACTTTCACTTTCATATTCATCATTGATAGTTCACAGAGCCACGTATTTCTTATTCCATTGCTGTATTATGATCCTTATTTTTCTTTTAATTTTTATTTCAGATATCAAAAAGATACTTATAGCCTCTCTAGTTATTGTCTCGATAATATTAGCTATCGTATTACTGTTATTCATATATTTAATTTATAGGTAAGTTTCTACTTTTTATTTCTGAGCTCTTTTGCCGAAACCGTGTGAACCTTACCTAGGTACAGAAATATTTTTGTCCATACTGTCTTATACTACAGTATGTGACGCACGCATACTAATTCTCCAATACTCATTGTGTGCTTGTGTCACAGGCCACAATATGAATCTGGACACAAATGTATCTGGCCTACCTACCGAAGTACGAGTTGCTAAAATTGCACTCTCTTCATTTTAGAATATGTAAAAACAAGTGATCTAAACAAGTGAACGAGACACAGATTAAAGAAAACGAGGAGGTGAAGAGTTGGATAATGTAATTTATTGGTTAAAAGACATTAGTTATTTAATTTATCAAGATAAATCGATAGTGTTATTAACGAAGTTACGGATTGCATTCTAATGCAAACGTTCTGCAGAATTCCGGCTTGAATAAACAGGTCATTGAGGTCCCTTGACATTGAGAATGACAACCATACTTGTTATTAGATCATTAGTAAGTCTTCGCACAAGCAGGGTAGGGACGTGATATTCGACGTAAACGAAGATAAATTGGTAATATATATATTGTCCGATTTGCCATGAATCAAACAGGATGACGCAACGAGAACTAAGCAAAGCTATTAAAATGATATTGATTTTATATTTAGTAAAAACAAACTCATACAATATGAAAGGATAAAAAGGGTGTAAACCAGCTATTGTATACATAAATGGAAAGTTTAACAACCAATGATACACATGTACGACTGATAATTTGAACTACCCAGTGTCACATCACTTCGATTTCTCACCGGATCGAGAAGCTAACGCAGAATTCAGAACAAAGGAAATAGAGCAAGAATATCAGTGACACATTTTCTGGTTTCAAATTATTTTATTTTTTACTGCATATATTCTTTAGTTACACTTGCAGTGAGTTGCAGGGCAGTATCCTACAGCACAATTAGCATTGCACCAAGCATCCATACTATCTGAGTTGTACGGAGGAATACTGACACACGATCCGGGCTGAGGTAGATTTGTTGGCTCAGGGGTCGGCTCAACTGGTTCAGTGGGTTCGACGGGTTTAGTTGGTTCGACGGGTTCGGTGGGCTCCGTTGGCGGGGTAGTAGGTCTAGGTGGGATAACACCTCCCTCCAAGGCACGGGTCACAGCAGTAAGCAGTGGATATTTTCCTTCGCCACATTGACTACCCTTAAAGTCATCCAAATCGAGAGCCCAGAACATAGCGCCAAGAAGGCCTGGAAGAAACGCAGAAATTACAATTTTTTATAGTTGGTTATTAGACTAGAATTCATATCGTAAACTTTGTGAGGTTTTTGACTTACTTAAGATTAAAATATTTTCTCTAAACCTAGGTAAAATGAATCGCACCTTTTTCTTTAACTAAGCCAACTTTGTCTTGCATCAAGCTTTCCTGTGTGTCGTAGCCGACCCACATGTTTCCAGAATAACCATACGGTGCGCCGGCAGCGTTCTTCTTCACGACGGTCAGCGGCATTTTACATATCTCGTAGTATGACAAGAATCCCGCCTCACGCGTGTACTTGCCTCGTGGTGGGTTGCCGTTGGCTGGAGCATTCAGTCCGTTATTACTGGGATTCACAAGTTTGAATGCCCGTCCGTAGGTAGCCATGCCGAGGGCAATTTTTTGGGCAGGCATGCCCTTCTTCATCCAGTGCTCAACAGCGTACCTATAACATAGATCAGTGGGATTAATGCGAATAATTCTGACTCGCTGAGACCGCGCGCTGAATTCCGTCAACATCTTTTAAAAACATGACGTCATACCTGACAGTAAGTTTGTCGTTGCCATACATCGCAGTTTGGTGTCCAGTCTTCTTGTCCCATTTACCGTGAAGGTCATACGTCATCAAGTTAATAAAGTCGAGGCTGTTTGCAAGTTTGTCGACTTCATATCCGGCGTCAATGCTACGGAATCCGGCAGGCACTGCGGCCGTCAACAATAAGCGCTCCTTACCAGAGTCCGCAGCCTCGGCTTCGAACGCGGCTACGAGCTCGTCGCAAAGGGCGGTGAAACGTTGTTTATCCCCGGGGGGAGAATTTCCACGGCCGGCAGGATACTCCCAGTCCAAATCAAAGCCATCAAAACCGTTTTTACGAAGGAAAGCGATTGATGAATCGATGAAAACCTTTCGTGTTTGAGCTGTCTTAACCATGGTGGAGAATTTACTCACAGCACCATTTTCGTGATTCCAGCCCCCGACTGCAAGCAAAAGCTTAAGATGGGGGTTTTTCTGGAAAGAAACAAAAAGTACAAAACATTGTATTAAATATTTATAGTCAAAACTAAATGTGCCATAACATCGCTGATATTCTGCACTTAAGTAATGATATAATCAAATACTCAACCCGTTTGACTTCAGCAAATCTCAGAAACATCTTATCGTCATTCCATTCGTACGGTGCCAATTTGTTCCCATTTCCAATCTTTGCAAACGCGTAGATAACATGGGTACAGAGAGAAGGATCGACATCTTCAGGGAAATATTTCATCGGCACAGGTCTGTACTGAGACCAGTTCGTGTAGTAACATACACGAACATATTCAGCACTTGCCAAGGATACGCACGCCAAGAAGAAAATTGAGAGATACGTCATTCTGGAGTCAATCGTGAACGATTAAGAGCCACGCTATTGTTCCCCCAGATTTATACTCCCCAGCGCTGGCATAATTGTCTCGCTTGTTTACCAATCGCATTTTCAGCTAATTTGTGGTCGTTTGGGAGAATGCGAAATGTTTGCCCTCTTCTCAGCTGCCTAAATTAGCTGGGTAAAGATCTGCACTGTGCTGAATAGGCTGGTCAAACAAACAGTGATGTGACAGACCAGTTTGTCTTCTCATCTGCCCGTCTATTTGCCCCTTTGGACTTGATATTTACCAACTCGAACAATTTATCCCAAAAAAGGGTGTCCCAGAAATCTCAAAACTGTTGAAATTATCAATTGTTAGAATATGAGGTGTTCCTCACCACCCTGTAGGTGGCGAAGGTATAGTTGCTCATGTATTATTTAACACAATACTGACACTAGTTCTTGGGTGCAAAAAACACAAAAAGGAAAAATATTCGTTTTGATCAAGTATTAGTTTTATTTCCGACGTCATTACGCTATTGGGCATTCGCAACAAACACTTTTGTAAAGCTCATGAGCAGTAATCGTCATTCGTCAACTCTGTCAAACGGACAGTGCTTCATGACAACTGATTACACACGTTTCTGGCTGTTACAATTGTCAGTGTTTACCAATGTTCTAAAAGTGGAAGTGAATTGCACAGCTGAGAATAGATACATCGCATTTGATGATGCAGCCTTGAATACTAGTTTCCATCTTCTCTGTGTATTCATGCAATATCCTTGCCCTTGGTGAGACTCGAGAATTTCTGAAACTAAACCACTCACTCTTCCACCCTCAACGTTTTGAACGAAAGTATTTAGGATAAAAGAAGTTAAAAAAATGACACCAAAAGGAAAATGTGGGGCAATCAGTTGAAGAGGCTAGCGGCATTAGCAACAGAAACACCTTCTTATCGGGTAGAGGGGGAGCAAATTTCTCAGGAAATATAGACCGGGGGGACACACCTGGGAAAACGGCCCTGGAATAAGTGGAATTACATTCTGACGCATGCTCATCATTTGCGTGGCATTTATGCCAAATTACATGAAGTTTTCTGAAATCGGCGGCCATATTGAAATATTTTCAGTTTTGTGATTAAAAAGACTTATTGAATAACTGTGTTTTTTTGAGAATCTTTAACTTTTTAAAAGGTTTATTGAGAAGGAAATATGCCCTCCTATCAAGGTCAGTTCATTTCGTGCTATTTGAACGTTGTTCTGAACTAATTTGCTGCGATTAATTTAGTGATCGATCCAGTGATCACTGATCAGTGTTGCACGTGTTTTTATTGCAAATAATAACTATGATCATGAATGAATACTGTCATGTCTGCAGTGGGGAGAAATCTAACCGCAGCTATGATTGTTTCATATCTGAATTGCCTAGAAATGAATAAAATTGATTCCTTTTTAGTTTGTTTTTTTGAAAATCTACTCTATTTAAATCACTCTGCTAATCCATTACTCTTGATAAATATTTTTTTGAAAACATGGCCAATCATTAATTCATTATCAATTTTAAATCTGCAGTTTCAGTTAAGTGGGGCAAAGAGAAGTTTGAGAATCTTGAAGTAGACACAGATGAGTTGCCTGAGCTTTTTAAAGCACAGTTATATGCTCTGACAAATGTTGCTCCGGAAAGACAAAAGATAATGCTGAAAGGAAGTGTACTGAAGGTACAGTGAGACTAACCAGACATTTACAAGAAAGAGTGGTTTGCAATTAGCTGCTGCATGTGGTAGTAACTCGCTCACAGGGCTGTCAAATTTTTTGGGTAATCGGATTACCTGTAGTCAGTGAGTCAGGTGTCTTCTATTGAACGCTTTTGTTTTTTTATATAACAGGATGATGGCTGGGGTAATATGAAACTAAAGAATGTAAGTATGTCTTATAATAGAACACTCCTAGAAGAACAAGGCTATATAGTTATTAAAAAACCCAACCAAATACCTATAACTATGGAACCCCGTTATTGGAGACATATCTCTGTGTGGTGATTCCAGCCATTGCATGTGTGTAGTTCATTTGTAGTTTATGTGTAGTTCATTCTAACTTTTTAACATGGCAAATTTATAAAATAAAATAAAATAAAAATAAAATATAACTATCAGGGATTCTTCACTGAGGTATAAGATTAAGTAAATCTAATAAATCTAGGCATGTCAGGTTTGAACTGACAGCTTAATTTGATTAGCACGAAAATATTTGCATCATTCTTACGTTATCGAGTTAACTACAGTAGAGCAGCCCTCGTCATGACCTGACTACTGTTTAACGAGGATCATGGTTGATTTTTAGGGGTGTATGTTGATGATGATGGGTACGGCCGGAGAACTGCCGACTGCTCCCAAAGAGAAAGTTGTATTCATGGAAGACATGTCAGACTCTCAGCTTGCAGGCGCTGTAATGATCAGACATTATTTTCAACACTGTACAGCAATATGCTAAATTACTTCTTAGAATATTGTATAATTTCTATGATTCAAACTTGTTTCTCTATGTAGTTAAAACTGCCAACTGGGCTTGCAAATCTTGGAAACACATGTTACATGAATGCAACAGTACAATGCTTGTGCACGGTCCCCGAATTAAACAAAGGCCTAGCAAAGTGAGTCAACCAATAATTCCATACAATTCACATATTTTATTTTATTTTTTTTTAATATTTGAATTTTTTTTAATCACAATATGTACATCATTACAATACAATTCACATATTATTTATTTATATTAAGTACAGTACATATGTTTCAGGTATCACAGAAGAGATAGTGGACTTTCTCGTAATGCTCCTGGTGAACAAACTATCCTTGCAGGCCTCAAAGATACTTTCCATAAAATCAACGAGAATTCTGATAGTTTTCCACCCTTTTTCCTAGTCCAAGTATGGAAACTTCTTTAGCCCAACAATTCACATCTTTTTTCCCCAGATGATAATATGTTAAGTTGAATTTTCTATTATATTTTCATCAAGGCACTATATCAAGCTTTTCCTCATTTTGCTGAGAAAAATGAACATGGAGTTCCAATGCAGCAGGTTATTTCAAATTGCATCGACCTATTTACCCACGCAATAAACCGTTTTGCTTGTAACTCATTTCGCCTGACCAATTCTGCCAACTATATCCGGCCGAATATAGTTGAGAAATGCCTCTAGTTATTAACTTATTAAGCTAGTAATTGTTTACATAATCGATACAACACTACCACAGCGAAATTATGAGAATACATGTATATGTTATGAGCAGCAATAATTCAGAATAATCGGCTGTTTCTTCGTTCCTGTAGGATGCCAACGAGTGTTGGACGCAATTTGTACGTATTCTCCAACAGCAACTGCCTGGTGAAATATCAGACAAACCAGAAAACAATGGCAGCGAGTCTGGCAGCGAGTCAGGCGCTGCCGTAAAACAAAGTTCGTTGATAGACCAGTATTTCGGTGAGTCCAAAATACAGGCAAATTTTCTCGGTGTCTGTGACTACTGTGTATGTATAATTGTTGTTTGAAACACAGTCAACCCAATAACAACTCGTATCAAATCATTTTAGGCATACATTTTCAAAGCACGTATCCTTTTGTTTATTAAAATGCAGTAGGCATCCTATAAACGTATTTTTTACCGCAAGTTATAAGTTTAATTGCAATATTTTAAGTACAAAAAGCAAATGGAGAATACGTCCGCATTTTTTCCTTAATTTCATCTCGGTTTGAAATGTGACGAAGCCCCAGATGAACCCGAATCTTCGTCGAATGAAACCCTGTATCAACTTAGTTGTTTTATTGATAAAGGTATGTAAGCTGTAGAAAATTAGATCGTTTGAACAGACCTTTAGATGGTTTCGCGTATTTGTGGAAATTTATCGTTAATAAAACGTTTTTATTGTTTTAAGATGTGAAATATGTTCACACCGGTTTAAAAAATGTAAGTTTTCGAACGTAACTTATTTACATTATTTAAAACCCTGGGGCCGGTTGACGGTTGTATAAAACTCTTTAACTATATTTTGCATAGTTAAATGACTTAAATCCTAGTAACTCAGAAATACACGACTTTGATTGGCCAATTCTGTCCCTAACTACAGTTAAAAGTTAACTAGTCTTTTATACAACTGGCCCCTGGTACGATTTGTCGTGACCTCGTGAAGCCAACTCATGATTTTACGCTGTTTTTTTTAGCGATTGACAGAGACAATAAATAAACATTCTGCCACACTTGGACGTGATGCTGGTTATACTAAGACAGTAAGATAAAATTTAAAACGTTTGCAATTTAAACATTTTTCGAAATTTCTATCCCAGCTGAAATGATTTTTTCTTTTATCCCAGCTGAAATGATTTTTTTTCAGTCCCAGATTGACCGTTTACCAGCGTATCTTTCCATACAATTTGTTCGTTTTTATTATAAAGAAAAGGAGAAAATAAATGCAAAAATATTGAAGGTAGAAATTGGTTTGAAAATTTCATATTTTTTTTCGGTTATTGAGTGTGGTGTGTCGCTGTATATGAAACGGAACGATGCCTTTTTTTAAGGATGTCAAATTTCCTTTGAATTTGGACGTATTCGAGTTGTGTACCCCGGGGCTTCAGCAGAAACTAATTCCAATCAGAGACAAATTCAAAATAATGGATGACAAAAAACTGGAAGAGGAAAAGGTATATTTATACACGCAGTCACATGCATTTTGATAATAGTCATAGAAATTGAAAATTCGTATGTGGAAATTAGGATTCGGTAAAATGACCATAGAGATTATAAATAACACTATTATTATTATTATAATAGTGTTATTTATAATCTCTATGAAAATGACCGGGTGATCTAAAATGGCGGGAAAAGGCTGGGACTTGTTGTCAAATGTCAAATGTCAAATAAAAATCCATTTCTCGGTTGAAACAAGTTTTAAAATATCTCTTGAAATACATTTTATCTCGCTTTCAAATTTATCTCAGAGCTATAGTTCTAATAACTGAACATAATCACCAAATTTCGACTAGTTTAATAATGAATAACAAAAGATATAATCTGGCTAAGATATGAGTGCGAGTTCACCTGGGGAAATAGATATCTGTTTTCATCGTTTAGAAAGCAAAGCTTGAGGGAAAGAAATCCGAAAAGATGGAAATTGACGAAGACGATAAGAAAGAGTATGAGTCGTATTCTTTTGCAGACGGTGAGCTCAGCATGAATTTTTTTTTCTGGTTTCCATAGTCGACGGTCATTAATGTATTTTACTCAAAATAATATAAAAAAAGGTTTTTTAAATTTTATATATCGCCAGCAAAAGTGTGCTCCTACTGCTGCATGTAATTATCCTAAAAATATATGAATATTACGAGTGGTTTTAAAAGCTCGAGCAGTAAGAGCAAGAGGTTGAAATAAACTGTTGTCACAAATGCATTTCCCTTATGCCCAAGAACATCAAAGCTTCAAAAAAAAAAATATATATATTATAGAATATATATTATAACTTTTAAAAGATTTTTAATTGAATCGTAAACAAAGAAAACCGCAGGGTTTTTTTTATTAAACTGTAAATGAACTTCGTTTAGCAATCTCGCTGAAATCTACATTTTAGCCCGGGAAATTGCATCGCATGTCCGGCGATGAAACAATAATTGCGAGTCATCATCAAACTCCGATATTGCTGAGCCATTTTATGAAAACTTAACTTGAAGTGAGATTTTGGCGGTGAAATATTATGCAAATTTTTTCACAGCGCTTGACGTTTACACAACAAGATATTGAATCAAACTTGCCTTTTAAGGTCACCTAATTGCCGAATATTGAATATAAATTAAACAATCATTAAGATTCGTTCCAGGTGCTTAAGATTACGGTATTTGTGTTTGATTACTAGCTCTGTAGTGGGCCCGGTTTGGCTATATCAGAAACAGTTCTGTACTATAAAATGTTCCATGTACTCTACTTGATACAAATATACGCACATCAAACGTCATCTTACATCTGTGTGCTATACAGCATCAGTATAACTATAAGTGGTGTAAAATAATTAAAATTTTCAATAGGTGCTGGAGATTTGAAGCGTATCCGAATAATTAGACAAGAAATTCAATATTCTTTACATTTTATATGGGCCCCCATTACATGCTGTGTTGTATGAATATACTTTGAAACAGTATCAATTCACAAGCATTTTTATCCAGGTTTTGCTATTATATAATTTTTGAAAGGACAGTTCATTCAAGCCATAATGGAATAATAAAGTTTTTGTGAAATCCTCAGTCTTTAGACGCAGGAGTTTCTAACAGCTTGATCGAAATCTATTTATGGCAATATAGTTTGAATACTGTGCAAGTGGCCACTTTATAATTAAGGAAATTGTTTGGACACCGCAATTTGTTAAATTCCAAGCGATCGTGGGGATGGTTATTTATAACGAAGGAACAAACCAGAGCTTCACGACTCTTTTCTTTCATTTTCCCAAATTTGGCATTTAATCAGAGAAGTTATGTTACGAGTGTTTTGGTAAACCCAAGATCATTATCAGTTCCTTTCCTGAAGAGAGTCTTTTTGTGGGATTACTCGAAGCGTGGTTTCTCTGTGTGGTCGACAACTTTGGCTAAAGTATATAACTGGGAAATTGGAATGATTCGACGGGTTTTGGTGCCGAAGAATCACCGGAAGGATCAAGGAATTTGGCGTCTTTGAGTGAGGATTTTTTTAAGAGTTTTTGTTTGCTGTGTAATTACAAAGTGAAAGAATTCGAAGAATCGGCGTTTTGGTTATTTTTTCCTGCTCTCGCCAAAGAAACGCTTGATGAAAAGAGTTTATATAGAGCGTTCTGTGCTTCTGATCTCGGCTATTTCAGATAGACTGTAAACTTAAACGCTTAATCGTTTGTTAAATTATAAGTGTTCAGTATTCAAGTGAACTAATCGAGAAATTAAGTGGCCTGGCATTTAAACTTCATCTTTAAATTCAGATTTCTACATCAAAAGGTCTGACCTGGTATGGTAATGTTTACATTCGTCGTGTGCATTATCTTGGCACCGCTTATTTGGCGCATCCTCTCTTCCTATTGGTCGTATTTCACGACACGTGATCTCCCTCCTGGACCGTTTCCACTTCCCGTATTAGGAAACCTTCATCTGATTGGTTCAAATGCCCACGTGACATTGGCGAAGCTTTCACTGTCTCATGGAGATCTGATGACGATTTACTTCGGAAGCGAAAGAGTGGTTGTCGTGAGTAGTTCGGAATTAGCTCGCGAGGTGCTCGTAAGGCAGTCGTATGTATTCGGTGGACGACCTTTGAACTTACCATATGTGGCAATCTTGTTTAGCCACGGTGGAAAAAATATTGCATTTCGGGAGAACATGTGTCCTCGCTGGAAAAAACAACGCAAAATATTTCACGCAGCCGTCAAAATGTTCGGAAGTGGCCTACTGCCACTGCATGTTCAGGTTTGCGACGTTGTCAAAGACCTGGTAACGGATCTCGAAGTACATGTGGGTACACCTAGGGACATCGCTCACGATTTGTTCCTCTGCGTCGCGAATATCATTTGTGCTATGACCTTCGGTTCCAAATACGAACGTGGTGATCCCGAATTTAGCATTCTAATGAAAAATTTTGATGTCGTGCAGCGCTTCGTTGCCCCTGGAAACCTGATTGACGTCATCCCGTTGCTAAGGCAACTGCCGCTGAAAAGAGTGACTGAACTCAGATCCGCCGTTGGCCTTTTAGATACGATCGTTTCACGAAAATACCACGAGCATTCGTCGAACGTGGACGAAATCCGAGACTTTACCGATGCTTTGAAAAAACAGTACGAGCACGACATGGAAGGGGAAGAGAATGACGTAATTCGGGGTAAAAATGATGACATCATCTTAACAAGTGAGGAAATAATGCTTATAATAACGGATATGTTTTTCGCGGGTATCGAGACCTCGACATCGTCCGTGTTATGGGGTGTTTATTACCTGGCTTTTTATCCAGACTTACAGGACGAAGTATACGACGAGATGACGCGAGTTCTGGATCCCGACACTCCTCCAAACTTTTCCGACCGTCACCGACTGCCGTTCCTTTCGGCGACCATCACCGAGGTGTTCCGATGCGGATCCATCGTACCGTTGCTCCTTCCACACCGCACCATTACTGATGCTTCGATCAAAGGCTTTCGCATTCCGAAGGATACGACAGTTCTTGTGAACGCATTTGCGATCCACAATGATACTCGTATATGGGCCGACCCGCATGCCTTCAGACCCGCCCGATTCTTGGATGAAAACGGAAATTTCACATCTCCACCCCCGTTTGCGTTTTACCCCTTCTCTGCGGGCAAGCGAGTGTGTGTTGGTGAAATCTTGGGTAAAATGATTGTATTCGTCACGCTTGCAAGACTTTTTTATAATTATCGCTTAACCATTGTTGACTCTGGGGATCTGGGAGCGAACGAAGCGAATGCAGCTTCCATACGTAAACCAAAACCTTTTCAAGTTGTTCTTGAGAAACGCCATTGAGACGAGGAAATGCATGATAGAATCGTACTATTTTATGTTGTTTTATATTTTAATGAATCTAAGATTAGATCTATCACTGATAATCCGGAGTTTGTATAGAGTACTGAATAGTGCTGTAAGAGTCATTTGTATGAAGTGTTTAAATAATATAATTTACTTCATCGATAAACCTTGCCTTTTACTCTGCCTCAAGAGACGCAGCGATAGCGTGGATGCCAGAGTGCCCCCCCCCTCCATGAGCCCGTCCTTCCCCCCTGGTCCCACGTGAGGATCTTCATCGAATCTTAGCTAAGGTTATATTTTCCCAGTTTAAGCCATATAATACCTGGATATAATTGTCCATCATTACCATGATGTATGGTGCACTAACCTACCATGAACCACCACCATACAAATACAACCACCACCATACAATACCACACTCTAGGCAACAATAGACCATACCTTGCTTTTGCTTTTATTATCTTACTCGATCTTTCTTATATACAGACATTGGTTCAAATAATAGTGGTCTTTATGAACTTCAAGCCGTGTTAACTCACCAAGGCCGTTCATCCTCATCTGGTCATTATGTCGCTTGGATTAAGAGAAGTAACCGTAAGCAAAGAGTCTTTTAATATATTCATGTACACACAGGGTTTGTAGACGTGTACTTGAGCTAATCTTGTTAAAAAAGGGGTAGAACGTAGAACCCTATACACACCTATTGGTGGGTTATTCGTGGCAGCAGATTGCGGTCAGTAATCATAGCACCTTGAAAAGGTGTCAGAAAAAGAAAGTTGAACTGCTTCATTCAAAATGAAAGAAATGAACGTTTCTAGTTCTGATGATTGCTTTGTGACCATGACCGTTTCAGCTGCTCGCATTTTACACCCCCATTTTCCATGCCCCTTATCATCGTGCATGTTTTGAACATGAACTTTTGATAAAAAATCAAAAGTCAAAACTACATGCTGAGTAGAGCAATATTGCTCTAACCAACATCTTTGTCTTATGAATTTATTGAATATCAACCAGCTCGCAGCCGCTGTTCAATATTGTTGGTTAATAGTCCTTTCCATGACACAAATTCGTGACCGCAAAAGTGGTTTGTCTTTAGAGTTTGGACCATTCAATTTGAGGTTGTCCAAAGTAGATGGCGGCCATATTTCATGGAAAGATCAATTGATCAACGACGAGCTGATTTAACGATCGTTGCTAGGTTTGATTTTAACAACAAGTAAAACAATCCTAGGACATTGATATTATCATATCATAAATTAAAACAGCATTGTTGTTTTTTTGGTATGAATCGAAATGCTTAACATTGATTACATCTTGTAAATAACTCGTGATTTTTTCACGGATTCAAAAATGAACAACCTCGTCGGCTTTTAGACGTCTTTGCTTCAAAGTGGCGATGTTGGAGCGACACACAACGAGCGTGTCAGCTTACTAACCGCCATTAGGCTGGGTTTCCACTAGGCGGAATTTTTCGATCGATATTCTTTTCAATTATGAGAATTCAACGGTGGCAGATTCTCTTCACCGGTCACAATTGTAAAGAAAATCGAGCGAAAATTTCGTTTGGCGTCACAGACCGCAATGTGAAATTGGACACACACTGGCTACCTATTGTTAATACGTGCTGTGATAACGTTCCGTGGGTTAGAAAGGAATGACAGTGGCATCATAGTTTAAAACTTTGTGCGTCACATCTACTTGTATCCTCCAGGTTGCTATATATACGCAAACGTATACGCAAACGTATATCAACAACTTTGTAAAATGCTCACAGTCAACGTTTTCTTCCTTGTTCTCTGTGCTTCGGGTAAGGAAATATTGATTGTATGTATAACATTTATGCGATTCTCGCTAACATTTTGTATCACCCTCGCATTTGCTCATTTTTTGTTTAGTTTGGTTGTAAAAACATGTCATTCGATAGTTAAAAGCCTGTTTCTTCCGAATGTGTAAAAAATTCGTTCATAGACTAAAAAATTCGTTCATAGACTGAGTAGTTCACGTACAATAGCGTGTTGAAGTTGGAATACTTTTTTGATACACACTGTAGGGCTCCCAAGCGCTCAGCAAGCTAGCTTAAAGTGAAAGTCAAGTCCGTATGTCAACAACAAACCGTTTGTTAACATTTTGAACTTCCCTATTTTTTAAAATACGATGTGTTGTCTGAATATCAAACACTATTTAGTTTCGTTTCGCTTCTAAATTTATATGAACTAGAGTTTATGTTAAGAAAAAATAAGAAACATGCGAAATTTAGGCATTTTTCACAGCTGAGGGCCCTCACTTGTTATGAGCAGAACTTGACTTCCACTTTAATTATTTTTATTGTAAAATTGTGTACCGTTTCATATCATATTGTATAGGTTGATTTCAAGCTGTTGAAGCATGCTTCTGTATAATTTCTTCTTTTATGCATGTAAATATAACTGTATATAAAAAGTATTACCATCAATTAGTTTAAATGTTGTTAAAGATGATGTAAAGTCCGTTCTGCGCATATATTCCGCACATAACAATGTTCGTTTACGTTTGTTATATAATCTTTACATGGTAGTAGCAGTAGTAGTAGTAGTAGTAGTAGTAGTAGTAGTAGTAGTAAAACTTTATTTAAAAATTACATGGTAGCCTCGTCAACTGTAAGCTGGTTTCCACGAGGGGCGTGTGAGCAACATGACTTATACAATTATATGCATTTACATTAAATACAACATATCTTCAATACACTACATACAACGACAGATATAGCTACAGGACATGCACAAATAGTTAAGTTTAAAATTTTGTGGACATGCACAAAAAGTTAAGTTTAAAACAATGTATCCGAATTACGCACATCTGCAGGTAAAGAATTCCGGACTTTAGCCCCGTCATAGGTAAAACTTTTCTTTAGCTTTCTTGTTTTTGGCTGAGGCAACTGCAGCGAAGTAGAAAAAGTTATGATGAGTGAGGTTATGATGAGTGATATTTGGCGTTTGTTTCGTTTTAATTTTCTTCCCACTCTCGCTCGACCGGCTGTGATGAATATGCTTATTTTATATTATATTATATTTTGAAGAAGGTATAAATCGAAGCTTGTAAATAAACCGTTATTTAAAACTTTGAAAACGTATATGCGTACAAAATATATCGTTGAGCAGAACGAATATATGAATATTCAACTCCCCCCAAATATTGCATTCTTTTTGGCCTGGATGTTATTGCGGCGACTCGGCGCGTACTTAATTTTGAACACACACGATTACGAAATAGCGTCAGACATAAACTGAAACCAAAATGATGAGAGGATTAAACAAGCTAAAACAAAATACGCTAAGTAAAATATTGTTTTTAAAGGTATTCCCAACGTATTATCAAGAAATGTGTTTGTCAGTCACCGAGGAAGAGATATAAATGGTTGTGGTAACTGGACATTACCTTGTCAGAGCGTGAGGCGGGCTGTCTGGGTTGCCTGTGCCGATGACGTCATACAGATTGATCACGCGGGCGGGAAACCTTATCATGAATGTGATCTTAATTCAACAGAAGATCAAAACGATTATGCTGGACAAATCACTTTCGTTTTACGGCTACAATGGAACAGCGGCATTACACTGTGAGAAAATTAACAGTTTTTTTGCGATAAATAGTTCCTTAAATACAACCAGTAAAGTTGTATTTTCTAATTTGTCGTTCGTTAGTGATGGCAACATTCTTTTGGCGAGCCAGCTTAGTAGGTTTCAACTGGAATTTTTTTTCTGTAACATAAAGCGATCAATGGTATTTATCTTTGCATATTCCTTGTCTTGTTCAATTCATGTGCAAAGCTCCACTATTCAAAGCTATGGACGTGCGATAGAGGCTTTGTGCGTTAATCTGACTACTCGTCTGTACGATTCGACCTTTTTCTCATGCGTTGCATTGTCTTATACGTCGTTTTCCAACGGGAATTTTCTTCAAAATGATCGCAAAATGACAGTATTGTACGTTCATATATATAACTGCACCTTCATGGTAGTGAGCAAGCAATCAGTGTGTGACAATATTGTTGGAATTGTTCCCGGACATTCTGTAGTCAACATCAGAATTGAATCTTCAAGATTTTTGAACTTTTATAATTTGGCAATACTATCAAGGTTGTCTGTATTCTGTTTCTGCTATTCTAGTGAAAACTATAACCTACAGTCCCTTGTTTTAGACAATTTGCATTTCGAAAATATTAGCTGTTACTATGCAGTGGTTTACATTTACTTATCCAAAGGAAATGAAGAAAAAAACCATAATTTTAGCCTTACGAACTCTTTTTTCATGAATACTACGAGAGCATTTATGTGCGTTGCAGACAAAAAACCACCCGACAATTCGATCACAGTTATCCTTCATAATAACACGTTTAACATTACACATGGAGCTGTACTTGGCAACGAAGGTCCCATTTATCTTTACAATGGTAATTATCATATCTCATCATGCCGTTTTTTCCAATACGTACCCAGATATATTCCTAAATATCCACTCATGCGCTTTGAGGGTTCTTTAATCGTTTTTATTGAAAACTGTTTGTTTGAAACTTACCTAATTCCGAGAACTAGTGACCATGGTGGCGTTTTAGCGGACAGTAACATGTTCTACCCAGTATCATTTGACCGACTTGACAACAATTTCAATTACGACAGTTTTACAATCCTCTGCCCCCATGGTTATAAGATGATTTTGCAAGCATCTGATGATTCCACGCGTTTAACACGAGAAAGCTCAGCTTTATATACTGCGTTATGTGTGCAATGTCCACGAAATACGTATGCTTTAGTCAGAGGCGAAGCTCTTGACGCGAAGTCAAATAATGTCACATGCCACGATTGCCCAGTGGGTGGTAACTGTGTTGATGGTGAAGTAACATCGAAATATAATTTCTGGGGATACAAATCAGACTTGACAGTCCAGTTCATACTATGTCCTCCTAAATATTGCTGCGACGAAGGTTACTGCTCAAGTTACAACAGTTGCCATGGCGACAGAATTGGCACCCTGTGTGGTGAATGTCCGAGTGGGATGTCAGAGTCTCTGATCAGTACAAAATGTAGACCAAATGAAGATTGCACTGGTGGCTTATTTTTGTGTGGTTTTTCTTTTTATTTAATCCTTAGTATTTCATACCTCTTATTCTTCTTGTACCAGGAAAAAATAGTCAACTTCGTTCTCAGACGTTTACTCCCGAAATTGTTTTTCAGGAGTGGTAGAAACGCTGAACCAGGAGTTGGCCTGTTAAAAATATTATTCTACTATT